AGTCCTTACATACAGTTGCTGTGTAAACAGTAATATAAATTAATACTTGCGACGAATCATGTGCATTATTAATAATTCAGTTTGTTTTCTATCAGTAAAATTCTGTAAGCCCAATCAAAATATGTAAATATCTACAGCTTACTGTAGATATTGTCCATTAAAAACCAAATGCATCACTGACGCAACCTAAAATGCGGACCGTTTTTCCTTCCGACAATCGGATAGCAAATATCCATCGAATAGCCAGCAAAATCGGAACATGATCGGATACAAAAACGGAGACGGATCGGGCAGGTAGCGGAAAGATGTGAACTACGGCGTTGAAGGTCCAGTACCATTTTGCTCTCAGATCTTCGTCCGATTGTATGATCGGTGTCGGATCGGATAGATGTGACCCGGCCTTAATGCAGAACTTTACAAATCGTCTACCACGGTGTTTTGCAAACGGGGCTCCTATTCGGAAGACATATTTTTTAATATATGTATTTCTAACTTTGTAGTGACAGAAGTGTAAGCAGTCACTTATGTATTCAATAATTCAAACAATCGTTTGAATTGTAATTTGAATATAGGATCTTTCTGTTCCGAAATTGATTTAGTTTTTAGGGCAAATCATGACTTTGCGTTGGTTTTTCCATTTTGATTCAGTTTTCGTTCACCTAATATTTCTTCTGCAGCTGTCAATATTTTAGTGCGTTTTTGATTTTGTTGATTTTAAGTTTCTATTGCATCTAATAACATAACCGAACATGTAAGGGGTTGCAACAGACAGTCCAAAAAATGGATGCAAAGGACAATATTAGTTATTATTATATTATTGTATACTAGTATTCACGCAAGTTTGTTTCCAGGTGAAAAAGTTTGACGACTTTTGGATTGTGACAATATTTCAAATCTTTGACCAAACAAAAAAATTTCGAAATGTTCTAAATTTTTTTTTTTTGAAAATCCGATTTTTAAGGTACTGATTTCTTGAGCGAATTGAGATAAATGGGACATTGTTGTCTTGGAGATTCAGTTGATTTAAATTACATTTTTAGGCAAGTTATGTTTCCTCATAGAAGAACTTACCGCGACCAAAGGGTGGATCGGATGACGCACCAATTTTCTTTGGGACCAAGTCGATTACGTCGGTCTTGAGCGCTGATTTCGAATACACACTCAGTTGCTTAGCATTTCCCATTCTCCTGATGTTGATATGCGCTAAGAATCCCGATTCTGCTTCTGTGGCTCGTTCGGACGTAGTTAGCTGACTTGCTATTACTTCGCCTGGTTTCCACGAAAATTTCTCACTCAAGGAAGGCGGCATTGGACCTCCAGGCAGATTGTTCATGAATAGCTGTGGCGCGAGGTTTTTCAGGTTGACTCCGATTTTGTTCAACCAATCAATGTGATCTATAAAAGCAGAAAACACAGTTATTGTATCATTGCCTGTGATTTATTTGTAAACACCTTTCGGAATTTCCCTGTCAACACCCATATTTATGGGATCATTTCCATTAAATCGATAGAGGTGCATCTGTGTGGGCGTTGCCACCCTCTCTAGTACATTTTCCCATAGAGGAGACATCCATTGGCCTATGAGAGGATCGTAAACTTTCCCATTGGGCATATGCACTAAGGAGGTGACCTAAAATAAAATATTAGAAATATTCAATGCTTATGACGATGGCAATCTTGAAAAACATTACCTTCTTGAAGAAAGTTGATATGTTTATCAATATGAACTAATATCACAAACTAATTATTTGTAAAAATTAACTAACCTGATCCAATATTCCACCACAAAAGTCAATTGGCAAATACAGATAAGGATTTGAATCATACACGATGTGGCCGTAAGGCGATCTCATGATTTCCCTAATAGCCTCGCCATATTGGTTGAAAATCATAACGGGAGTTCCGCATTGGTCTGTCGCGATATAGTATTTGTGTCGATACACCTGAGCATAAATCAAGTGTCCTCGATTATCATATACTAAGGACATGAGTTTCCCATCTCGAGGTGAGTAAATCTGACTAACTTCTCGTGGTGCTTGGTCATTGTTATAGAAGAATTGAGTAACGTTTCCAAAGTTGTCCTTTCTGACCAGTAATCTGAGAACAAATTAATTCGTTTTCGACTTGCAAACTCCAGAAATTAAATGCAAGAGTTCGTACCGGTCCAAGTGGTCATAAAAGTATCGAACATCAAAGCGTCCCCTTTTAGTAGCTCTGGTTAATAATCCTTTTGAGTTGTAATGGAACTTCTCTTCTCGGGCATTTTGCACCACCAATCCTCTGCTATCATATTTGTATTGACCTTCACCAAATTTGATGATTCTATCCATGCTATTGTACTCCATTGGAATAGTATTTCCTCTTCAATAAAAATAAAACATTATTCATGCAATGAAACTACGAAAAAAGTTCGGAAAAGCCTGCTCACCTGTAAGTTAAGGACAACATATTTCCATTGTCATCGTATCTAAAGCCCCATGGTTCTTGGGCTTCTACACCCAGCAATTGACCATCGCAATCCCAAGTGTAATTTTTTATGTTAGTATAGGTGTTCACTCCAACGTTTTTGGTATACGTGCGTGTTTGGGATATGCGGCTAGAAAACGAGATATTACTATCAAAAGCACGTTTAAAGCTATAATTTTTTAATATGACCGACCCCCAAAATAGCCAGCTCTTGGTAACCTAAAGTCAGATTGAAAGCGAACCAATATCACCCGACTTACAACTTAAAAAAAAACTTTAAGTTAGAGATATAGTTACGTATGTCTGCCCAGAATTTGTAAGGCGCGCTTTGAGATTTAACTAGCTTTTTGCTCTGATTGAAATTGATAAACAACCCGAACAACCGCATTTTGAAGACTTACTCGGATTTAAGCTTTTAGGCTCTGAAATTTCAAAAAAAAAATGAAAAATGAGGGAACAATTTTTAATTGGGAAATTTCACCGGTAAAATTACAAAAAACTAAAATTTTTTTAAACAATGTTACTTCAAAAAATTTTCTTTAAATGAAAATTCTCTATGCAAATTTCTATAGAATGCCTAATGAAAGGACCCTTTGATGACAAGAAAAATAAAAAATTTCTATTTCCATAAAAATCCTCGACAAGCAAAATAAAAATAATGAAGAAAATTTAAAATTTTCAAAAAATCTAAAATTTTAAATAAAGAAAAATGCTGAAACACTAGATATGCCTGTCACTTTGCTAAAAAAAAGTTTGGCACACTTATTTGCCATCTATTGTATCTGCTCCGGATACATTCCAAGGAATTGGTTTCTGCAATCCGAGGCGACTGCTAACTATAGACTATCAGCGTAACCTCTGCCTCGTATAAATAACTGATTCTCAAAATATCTTGGATATATTAATAAGAGGGAATGTATTGCCAGTTCTTATTCTGCCCCAAACGGATTAATATACTTAACCCCAACTAAAGACATTCTTTATCCAGATACAGGGCGTTCTACAGACGTGCCACCAGTCTCAAGAGTACAGTCCAGTTCTGAAGGTTTTTGACATTCCTGAACATATAAAATGCACTTGGTAATACGAAGTCTAAATCGTTCTGGATCGTTGATGGAAACTTTTGCGAAACTTTTACGTTGGTCTCGATCATTCCATCTTATAAAGGAAATACATATAAAGTATGGCGATCTGCTGCCCCGTCAAAAGCACCGCAACCTGGACTTTTATCCCCATTACTGTGAAGTGTGGTTTAGATTTGCGCCGAAAGCTCAATGAGGAAAGTGCAGGGATCTGCTGACGATTTAGCTATCGTTGTGATTGGTAAATTGCAGAGCAATTTTAAGGCAAGCATGAACCGCCCGTTAAACCGGACAAAATTACATTAATATCATTCGTCCGAAAATGCCTGGTTGGGCTGCGAGGATGCCTGGAGGAGCTGACTTCGTGTTCTCCAACATAGTCAAATGACTACTTGACTTTGACTCCAAATTGATTTGGAGAAAAGATGTTGATGGAAACATACAGTAGAAGGCTACAGCCTACGGTTGGACGTGCAGAAAGACCTGGTATGTAACATTTTGCCGATGCGGCTCATATTTGTACACGTGGTCTGATTAAAAAATATATTTATATCGATATACGATATTACACTTTTTCATGAAAACTTTCCTACTCCACGCAATCGAATATTTTAAATATATCGCAATATGCACGCCATGCGTAGTTTCCACCGCCAAAAGTCCTAACAAAGTGATTCTCCAGTTTAAAGAGAGCCAGAGATGCGGCAGCATTTATTAGCATAGAAAGCTCTATATATAAAGTTCAAAAAATATGTTTGAGCATGTGCTAGTCCTCAAAAATTCCTTCCATATTACAATTAGTTCTGTCTGTACTTACCCATGGAGATCATGACTGAATTCCATCCTAAACACCTCCATTCCATGAATGGTTAAGGCAACTCGAGATTCTAAAAATCTTGAATTCTGCACACTTGAAAACAGTGCTGTACCATCATACACTTGAGTTTCGTTTGCCTTTAATTTGATTATCTGAAGCAAATTTACGTTTTAAAATTTGTTAGAACCGCTTAGGCAGTCGATCTTACCTTAAATGGTCCAATTTGTTCAGCAGATCCGGTTTTAAAGTTATATGCCAAATTGTACAACGGTAAGTTCTGACCTCCGATTCTGCCTTGCAAATTCACTAATCTGTAGTTATTGTCATACTCGTAGGTAAATTTAGCATTGCTTAACCCTGTTTTGGCACCAAAATTGATTCGTTCTTCCATTAGAAGGCCACTTGCAAATTGATAATCCCATTGGTATTCCAAGTCCTTTTCCACGTGGCTTACTTGGTTTGGTAAGCCCGTTGTATCTGAGTATGTGTACAGCATTTTGCCATCTCCATGAACAACCTTATAAAATGTGCCTACTTAATATCGAATATTCAGGATTTTTTCTACTATTTTGCCCCGAATTTTGTTTTAATCAACATTAAAAGGGAATGAAAATATAGTTGCTACTGACGCACTAGATGAGATTTTATTATATTAACTTGGAAAAATACATTTCTGAAAAGCGGGAGAAATGAGAAAAAAGTCTTTCCATCTCGAGCTTCTAAACATATTTCATATTATCGAGGCCAACTGGCCATTAAAAAGATGAGGGGATGTTTACATTCAGTAAAGCGGCATATTTTGTTTAATTCAGATTCCCTACATTATTTCCGTATATTTGCAGAATTTTTTTAATGAGCCATTAATGTTTGTTGCAAAATTAGTATTAATGTGGTATCCTACCTCCTTGAGTTTCCCGCTGTCGTAGTAACGATACACAATTCGTACTCCCTCTGGAAACACTGTTTGCAAAAGTTTTCCAGAATTAGAAAAGTGTTGGAGATAGGATCTAGTGCTACCAGGTGGAGTATAAACTACTCTGATAATCCCTGAAAATTTGTATTTAATGGTTATGAACGCTCTGCACAGTGCATAAATACGTGAAAAGTTTAATAGAATAAAGTCAATATACTATATCTAACTACCAATCGAGTTGTTCAGGAAAAATAGCAATAAAGCTTTGCTTATTCCGCTTATTTCAAATGATAGGCAGAATCAAAAATATAAAATATTTATCCTAAGAGGAAAGTGGCCTTTCTTTAGGGAAATTACTTCAACCTCGCTAACTATTTAACTCCCAAATTGGTTGCGCAAAAATTTTGTGTTAAATTATTTCCATATTTTTTTAAATTTTTAATGACTCTATGCGTGTTTTTGGTAGTATACGTAAAATGTAAGTATTGAACAGAAAATTAAACAGATTTACAAAACAGATCTACACAGCGATGAAAGAGGAAGTGATCAACTTTAATGAATTGTTGTCGATTAACACATAGACCATATTATGAAAAATTATATTATTTGGCCCAAAAATATACTGTTGATTTAATTCGTTCAGACGTTCCATTTTCCAATCAAACTCTTTTGAAAATAACGCTGTTTGTAAAACATGCATGCTGATATTGCGAGTTTGCTATCCACGTGAAAGGTAAGTTAAGAATTTTTTTTCGGATTCTGTAAAATTAATATGAAGCAGCGGCACGTTGCCCCGAAAAAAATAGCGACTGGTTGAACGAAAAATTTTCGCTCCGATAAACTGCCTAGGTCGACCATCCGGTGTAACTATTTAATATCCTTTTACATTTGGAGTAAAATGTATAATGGTGGTTGTTGAGGCGACACACGTAGAACTTGAGAATAGTAGATTATAGACAGGAAATTAAATAAAAGATTCTAATACAATTTACATCGCATTTTCATAGAAGCTTTGAACAAGCATAAAGCTATGAGTTTCGAAAAATCTGTGTTTGTTATGCGAAAATAGGCATATATTGTTCTTAGAGTTTAGTTGAATCTCATTTAATCGGTATGTAACTGAAAAGGAGTGTGAAACTCTTACCAAGTGAAGGTTGGAGAGCAAACGAATGCTTTGTTCCGCTGGGTAAAGTCACGTGCCTTAAACCCCCATTGTCGTCGTAAGTCAACAAAAAGTTTCTCTGACTGGCGAGGGTGATTTTGGTAAGCATATTAGTTTCGTCGTATGTAAATATTTGAATTCCATCTTGCGGACTGGTTAACTCAGACAATAGTCCATGTCGGTCGTAGCTGAATTTCAGTTGAGAGTCTCCCCATTTCCAACTGAAAATACAAGCTAGGCTTAAAATACTTCAAACATTAATTTACTTATTAAATGCTAAAATATTCGTCTACTTTAAAAGTTCTAATGAAATGTGCAACCGGGTTTCCAGTTAACGCTTTAACTGTGTAACTAACTATCTTTAACTTTACAATTTTTCTTCCATAAGGTACCAATTTACTTCACACTTTGCTTGCAGTGTCTGTCCAAATTAACATATATTCGAACTTTTTGAGGACAATTTAGGAAGATCGATACAAGATCATCTCAAATTAATCTATGTGACAAGATAACGACAACATTTTTCAGAATTAAAAAAATATTTAAAAATCATAAAAATTGAGTACAAACACACGATTAAATGGATAAATAAATGAATGATGGCAGCAATAAAGAAAAAAGTTATACTCATGAACTCTGAGACGAGACGATTTTAAATTATGCCAAAATTAACTCAAAATATCATGATTTGCTTTTGAGTATGTTTCGAACAAATTTTTCTTAGATCTTTTGCTCTGATTTCTACGACTGCGCATAATCCATTGAATTCATATTAGCGGAGTTTTTGGCAGTCAAAGATTTTTGTCTTAAAACCAGAACATAATCTTTCGAGCTGGAAGTTGAAGAAAGCAGCCTAGTAGTCGGTGACTTTAATATTTTTTTTGTGCGTAAATTTGCTCATAAGCTGGTTGCTTGCATAAACGATGCTCAAAGCTCAGGCACCCCCTTGCTTGAAAACATTTTTAAAATTTTTCTGTCGTCAGTCAAATGCATTTATTTAATTTTGAAATATTTATTACATTTATAATTTAAAATTGGAAATACGGAATGGTGATCAAGGTCTTTGGAAATTTGGAAGCCAGATAAACTTTTCATTATATTCTTTATTCTTAAGTTTTTTGAAGTAGCAATATTGCACATTGAATGAAATAATTGGAAAGAAGTACTAAGATGTACTTAAGTGCGCGATCCGAAGATTTATCGACTTTTTTCGAAAATTTAATCAGATATAACTAAATCAATGAATAGGCAGTTTTAAACAACGAAAGTGATTATCTTATAAAGCTTACATACGTTGTTATCAACGTTTTAGTAACACTCGTATACCTACTGCATATCGGCTGAGGGTAGGAACCGGTTAACTCGCGATACGCTTCAAGAACCGGCTAATTCGCAGTCCGCTTGAAGAACGCGCTAACTGACGACCCGCTTGCAGAATTGGTAACTCGGGAGCGTTTTTATTCTTTCTAAATTTGTAGTGGCAGTCCTGCACAATTTTAATATACGCTATTAAAAATTCAGAAAAAAATTGAAGTTATCTCAAAGTCGCCCTATACAATGGCAATTTTTTTAAAATTATTGAAAGTTATTAAAATTGTTGAAATATCTTGAAAAACGTTGATTATTTTTGGTAGGTGTCGAAATATTTAAACAAAATTGAAAAATCAATACTTACTGCAACGCCATGCCTATACATACCCTCATTGAATTTTTTGTTACCAAAAGGCAAATTTACAAGGATACAAGGAACAACAATTTCAATAATAAAAAAAAAATGCGGAATGTATGGACATCTTATATCTTAGAGAAAACTTCAAATGTTTTCACAATTTTTAATTGCGTATATTTAATAGGAATCAAATATAAAAATTGTGCAGAGCTGTCACTACAAATTTAGAGAAAATAAAAACGCTCCCGAGTTAACCGGTTTTTCAAGTGGGTCGCGAGTTAGCCGCTTCTTGAACCGGACTGTGAGTTACCGGTTATTCCCCTCGGTCGTCGATATACTGTATATATATCAGACACACTGCTGTATATAAGCGTAGACGTAGAACTCAATTTGCCTTTATTTTCATTACAACTTGCCACATCAATATACGAAAACTCATCAAAAAACGTACTCGGACTCTAATCATAATGTAACAGTAAAATGTTTCAAACTTACCCGTCCATTCTGTTGAAACTATCATACGTTATATTCAGCACATCCGCACCATTATATGGAGTATACGTAAGAGGAAGACCAGCAGGATCGTAAGTTACAGTCAACAAAGGCATTTTTTCATAATCGAAAAAGGTCTCCTTACTGGTAAATTGATCAAATTCAATACCCAATACTTTGGAGTGATTTACATGAATTTCCCTGTATAGTGTTTGCTGCGGATTACGCACATCTCCAACTAAACTTAACGTTGTTGACATTGTATTAATTAGATACTCTCCAAAAGTTGTGGTTTGTTTTGACCATACGGGCAAAAGTTCAGCTTCGATAGGGAGATATGCTTCGAGCAAAGGATGCCGCTCGATAGCGCAAATTTCAAGTTTACTTTCAGCCGCAGTTTTCAGTGCCACAGTTGAGTTTGTTAGAGTTATGGCTTTGGTAATTTCGGCTCCTGCAAATTCATTTAATATACATTTTGTTTTTCTTTCAATTATATTATAACTTCAATCAAATCAATCAAATCAAATAAGTAAGTAAAAAAATCAGTTAAAATACATACTTGTGAGCTAGTATCTTGAGATCTAGCATTATCCACAAATTTAATGCAAAGTATTGTCATAATTTTGAAAATTCAACACTCATTCTGCAAATATCGATATCGGTATTTAATAATAAATTATGTTTCGGGTTGCGGAATTAACTCAATGAAATGTAGACAATAGCCTGTAGTAATGAAAAATTCTTCAGTTATTTATCCTTTTCGTATTATCAGATTCTGCTTATTCGCCCAACTTTATCACATATCTTTTGTATCAAACACGTTAGTAAATCCATGGGCAGAAGTAGAGTGACGAAATTTCTCATTAAACAAATATTGAAGAACAGTGTCAGAAGGAAATGAAACGTTTCACGCATTTAGTCAATTCCATGATATTGTTAGATTTTTCACTTTTAAGCAAGTGTGCATAATAAATAATATTCATACATTTTAAGTATTATCTAATAACATTTTGTCCCACTTCTTGACGCAAGCAAATTGAAAATATATTTCTTCTCCTACAGTAATCTTTAAAATAGCGTATAACTTTTATTAACACACACACAAATTAACATTTTACTAAGCAATTTATTCAGTTCCTTCATTTTTCAAAATACTTCAGAGATTAGTTTTTAGTTGAAATATTTTTTCTCTTGCATTAATCATTTGGCTAATACAGTTTAACTTGAAACCGAATTATTATTTCTTACATTATTTACTTTAAGGGGGCTCCTATTTCCGAGTTCAACTCTCTAGACAAAGAAATAATATGAAATATTAACATTATCTCACCTATCATTTTAAAATCTCACCTATCATCTTCCTGAACAATGTAATGTATAACTAGAACCGGTTTATTTCCGAGAGACACACCTATATACAATTTAGCGGTTTAGTTAATCTGATATAAATGTTAAATTTTATACTAATGTGGAAATTATTCTATGAACATTATATTTTTACTTTTTCACCACTAGAAAATTTTTCAAATGGTCAAACTCATTGAGGCATCATTGCAAAAGTTTTATGAAAATATTACTTTTGTTTTATTATAATATTCTGCAAATTGTTTAAAAATGTGCAAAAAATAAAACCTGTTTAGGTGTCCACTTTAATCTCTCAAAAACTATTTCTACCCTACTGTCATGTTTCATAAATATTCCACGTATTTTGTTAGTTGTACCCAGTATTCTGTTGGGCCGAACAATAAATATTTCAAAGGTTGAGAGCGTCTAACAACGTTCGTAACATTAATTTTAGTTTGCATAATTGATACGTAAAGGATGCAGTTGAAAATTGGCTATATTCGTTTAAATCCCCTTTTAGAACCCTACCCTAGCCATAATTTATTCATAATCTAGCATAGCCAAGTCTGTACAGATTAAAATTAAATAATAATCATTCATCAGTCATCAGCGTTGTTTAATTATTAAAATGCACGTCAAGAACTTACCATCAATTAGAATGACTTGCTTGTTCGACTTGCCATTAATATTCAATATTGTTGGAGGCTGACTGACGGACACTTCTAGACCCTCGTTGCTCGACATTTTCGAGTTTAATTGCAGTGTTTCCCCACTGGGTAAAATCACACCTGTTGCTCTACCCAAACCGTCATATTGGTAGATAATTGTGTTTCCACCCTGGATCAAACACGTCGTATTAAAACAATATTAATTTAAAGATAAACATGGATGTTGTAACATCATTAATACAAAATCGTCAAAGATAGATCCTCCCTAAAAGCATCCTATTCGCCAATAGGATGTTATTAGGCATCTTAGGAAATGATTTGTTGTCGATATCCAGATGATAGAGTAAAAAAACCCTTGGTTTATTGACGTTAGGTCAGAAATATAAATAAAAGTGACAAATAAATAAGTGGTATAAATACCACTTGTTTATATTAGTAAGGGGTTAATTTCGTTGTAAGATAAAAATTATTAATCTCACTGGCGTTCCAGAAGACCACCTGGCCAATGCCGAAATGCACGACAAAAAATGTGCACCATTGAGTTATATTAATATTTTCCGTTTTTTTTTCGGATTAAGCCACTTCCAGTACAACTTTCTTACCGCTTGACCTTTTCCCGATCTTGCTACCTTTTCGAAATAAAAAATAGAAACCACTTTGTTTCGCGTCCCTTGGACCAAACTATTCAGCAATTAAAATAACACGAAAGTCATTTACATATTATTTTTTTAGAAATTAATTGTTACTAAAACAACGCATTGTAAAACTATTGCATAACTATTATTTATTAGTGCTATGTTTAGCCAGTGCCGGACAAACATAACACAATTCGTATGGCTGGAAATTAATAATCACCCCAATTTCTGGATGGAGATCTGTGTTATATTATATTATTTGCCATTTATTTATAGTAATAAATGATTCTCATAAAAAATGTTTAAGATTGGACACAAACAGATGTTTTTCCGGATAATTATTTTTATGTTTAGCCCACCAATTGAATTCAGAACAATAAACTATAATTTAACAAATAAAATAACCATAATTTTAAGTTAATTTGTTTGATCGCAAAACTGTGCAAAAAAGTCTAAAAGTGACTTGCCTCTAATTTTAATAATCGTATAATTTTTGATAGCTTAAAAATATTATTATTGTCGCATTATTATTAATCTCGCAAACGAAGCGAAATACGAAAAACAGCCAAAACAGTTGAATTGCAGGATTCTTTCCTCGTTAGAAAATTTCCTCCTCGTTAGAAAAATTATTTACCGTAGCATAATTACATTTATCATTCTAAATTATCTGCGATTTATTTATCTGGAATCTGGATCAGAACCTTTAAAAAAAAGCATGAAGACACAGGGTCACTTTGTAGGACAGCATAAAGGTTTACAAAGAAAAAGTCTCCAAACGGTGACTTGGTTTTGTTCATTTTTATTAATAAATTTAATGCGTATTGAACATTAATATGTAATTTTTTAAGAAGATGAATTATTTCTTGAACTCTTATGTGATTCGTGTGAACACTTTTGCTTCTTTCATGATAACATATGAATAATAGTGTATGAAATAAATATAAGTTCGCTAAATAGTAACATTAAAACATTTAAGTTAATATTAGAAAATGTTGATTTTGTGCCTAATTTGGGTCAAAAATCCTAATTTTTAAAGAAATTTGATCTGAAAATGAAACGCTTCTGCTTGCGAATATTTGATTCATTATTTTAATATCTTATAACCACTTGACTTAATGCCAACTATGAATATTACTTAATGGTTTAATTCTAATTTACACTTACAGTCAACCTTTCTTGGCTTAGGGCAAAACGGGGCCAAGTTTCCGAAACTCTATCCCATGAACGCCAGTAATTATTCCAAGACAGAACTTAGTCTTATTATAAGCATCCGATTGCACTTAAACTAAAACTCCTTGAAACAGTGCACTTACCCCACTGCGACTTAACAGAAGCCCTGTGTTTTGGTCGTAATCCAATTCGATCTCGGAACGTCCTTTCTCGCTTAGTTTCGACAAATAACCCATTCCAGACATCTTCAACTCCGACTTGTGGTCTTGGGTATTTTCTATCGAGCTTACGGCGTTAGAGTAATCCCTGAAAGAGATTAAACGAAAATTGCAGCAAACTATCAGTGAGCTTCAGCCTTTATGGCGATACTGTATCGAGTACTTTATCGATAACGTTTTTCAAAAACATTTGTTAAGTTGCTGTTTTCAATTTGCGCTAAAAATGCCTAGTCTTACTTTACAACCAATCATTTAATTTTTTTATTCGACTTTGAAAGTTTACACGATTAAATCGTAATTAATACGATACAGACCAAAATGTAAATATTTTCTAATATAATTGCAATGCCATGCTAGCTAGATAATGATAGCATAGACAGGTATTTAGAGCTTCAAGCTCCAACAGGCACTATGAATATTTATGTTTTCAGACGGGAATTAATTTGCTTTGCTGGGTATTGTATTTTCAGACAATTTATTATCTTTGGGCAGAATAGCTTGTCAAGAACGTATACAAGGTAAACACTCCGTAAAATTAATAGAAACATTTCTGCAGTTCGACAACAACATTCAATATCACAACAATAAATATTAACGAGGCATAGTTAAACATAATTCGAATGATTTAAGAACATTTTTAATTAAATTGGAAGTTCTACTCTCTTATGTAATTATTTAGCTGATATCAGTTGTTTTTAAGAGCGATTTTGCACTTTTGAACAGTAAATTATATTATGCAACACTTCAAAAACGAAAGTAGCCTGAAGAAATATTTTTATTATATCTAAAATTGTATTTTCTTTTTAACATATATTATATCATAAAACCAAAATATTTCTGGGTGGAAAAGTGAATTTATATCGAAATTTGATATTATTACACTCATTTACGTAAGCAATTGACTGACTAATCAGTATCAAAATGAGTAACATTCGAATGCATAAAAAATTAGATTTCAGATTGATGAACAAGAAGATTGATGATTGATGACCAATGATTGATTTGACCAATGATCATTCAATTTTTAGGAAAGTCTTATTGTTTTTTCGGAATGCCAATTAGAATTCGCAAAATAGTTGGCATTCTATAAATTATAAAAAAATAATTTTTTTCTGCAATTATCGCGCTGCCGTTTATTAATTTCAAATATATTAGATACTAATAATCTTAAATTTGAATAGATAAGTTCCTTGACTTTCTTATACGACTATCCAGATACTTCAATCCGAGAACAATGTGGAAAGTAATAAAAAAGTAGCAAATAAAAAGTTCTAAAAAGGTCATAAATAACGTTAGAAAATAATATTTGTCCTTATTTGCCAATTTTCAGAAAGATCAAAGCTGAGCAAGTTGTACTCATGTTATACAAAATGAAACGATTACATTATATAACACGAACTCGAATTTATGAAATACGAAAACAATTTGTAATATATGTAAATGTAAAAATCCTATTTCAATTTTCAATTAAAAATTTTTTTCAACTAAATCCTGTTCTAGTGTGAAATTTTACAAACAATATTGACAAGCATATTGCTTATGTTTTGAATCAGCCTGATCTTCTAGCAAATGAACAGCTTGCCATATAGTTGGTCTAGTATTGTGCAAATAGCAACATTTTCAAACAGTTAATGCAATACCGATAAAATTATTTTCACTTACCTCAAAAATTGAATTTTGTTTCCGGAACTATCCGTTACAGTAGAAAGTTTACCAAAACTGGTGTTTTTCGAGTACAAGAAGGAATATCTGGTTTTGTCGCTGGCTAAATCCTTGGTGGCGACGTGCTGTCCATACCGATTGAAAACGTAAACTTCCCCTGAAGAAGGATATGGTATTCGAAACTCGCCATTTTCATCATGGGTCGGAAGATAATGTTCGAGCGCCAAAATGTGTAAAGATCCTGGAAGAAATAAATAGATGTTCACTGATGCTGTACATTTTTCATATATATTTCATATATTTGTATATTAAGTTAAAACTTATCTAATCTTAAAATCTGTCGCCTCTTGAAAAACAAATTGAGTTCAAAAGTTGCTGTATTGCACTAAACTTTTTATATTATCTACATTTGCATCAAAATGTAAGTATTCATTTAATCTATAATAATTGCGCATTTATTCCATGCCAAATCCTAACGTTCAAACTCCCAATAATCCATTTGGCGGAAGTTGCATCCGGGTAACCTTTATACAACGTTTCAAATAACGTCAAAAGTTCTATTCGTTCGAAATATTTTCTGCACACAAAAACAGACGATTTGAACGCTCAAATTTCCGGTTGGGATATTATTTTTTATATTTAGTATCGCGTCACATTTTTTAGCTCGGTGATATAAAGGTTTTTTTTTTAATTGCAAATACGAAATATTTTCCAACAAATGTTCATTTTTCAATTCCATTGGATCAATGTTTCTTGCAATCCCCAATTAAATACGTTAACTAATTCAAAATGAAAGCACAGGTGTTTCTTAAAGGCGGTAAAGAAATCTTCAAATTCATTAAGATGTTTTTCTAAAAGTTTTACATTGGCAATTAATTTTTAGAATACGAGCAACAAGAACAAAATGTGAAATTGCAACTAGTGTTTCTTATGTAAAGCAAGTATTTGCAATTCATTTATAATTATTTGCAAAGACTTGTACAATATACGCTTGAATTAGATTTCGAATTGCTTACTTTTCTTTGGTTTCAAAAATCTTTTTCTCAAGTTATTGACTTTGGAACGCAACATAGACAGCTAAATCTTCATGCAAAAAAATCGCATCCTTTACTAATGCAGCGGTCGTAAAAGCAAATTGCAGTTTGCAAAATTAAAGTTTGTGCCCGTTAGTAAAGTAGCAGGAGTAAAAGTTGACATACTTTATTATATCGAATTTTGTAAACTACATTAAAAGTTAAATCAAAGTATGAAATTGTCTCTCGATTTAAATAAAATAGAGAGGCCATGATTTCCACGGTTGCCAAAAAATGCGATAAAAAATATTTCTTTCATATATTTCCGAATTTTCTTCTTCTTCTTATGCACAAGCGGTAAGAGCAAATTCCAATTAGTAAGTGAACTAAGACTAACTTGAGAAGAAACTAACTTGAGAAATGTTACTTAGCGTTTTGACGCCGATTCTTCAATCTTTTTAAAATTATAAATTATGTGTTGTTTTTATGTCCTTAATAAACATTAATGTTTATATAAATGATGATCAATTTATAAATTATTTTTATTAATGCAAATTAAAAAAAGAAACAAAACCAAATTATGGTTTTATTCGTTTTTATATCGAAACGGTGAGATTTAAGTCATAACTCAAAAAGGTGCTTGTCAATTTCGAAAAATAAAATGTTGATAGTTAAAATATGTCTCAGACTTGTATTCAATAATTGTAAACAATTTCTGGATACATTCAGAATAATATATCATAGTCGCCAACAAAAAGTTAATTTACAGTTTAAATCTAAGCGTGTTATAACTTCCCCCTAGGTGCACTCATATCATTACTTTATCATTGAAATTTATTATTATTAGATAACAAAATTTCAAGAAAATTCGGTCTTTTAAGAGAGTTAAAATGAAGAGTAAATCTGAAGCAAAATACTCAAACGGCTTTGTCATTGTGTTCGCACCTCCATCATAGAACGTAGCTTCAAAAAAATGTTGCTAAAAAATCGTACGAATTGACGGACTTATTTATTCCAAAAGTAAAACAAAACTAGCTCTAACATAAACTCTAAAACACATTTAGATAATATCGTATGTATAATTTGGAGAAAGATTGGAGGACCCTTTCTTGTTGATCTAGGCGCTTCTTTTAGAAATCTCAGCCATTTCCGATACTATTAAGGTTACTATGTTTCCTCGTTCATATTTTTCAAAAATGTTTAAAAAGTCTGTAATTTGGGGGAGAGAGATATCAAAATGTCCTGCTAGTAATTTAGACTGGATTCTACTTCACCGTTCACTATCTTCCTGGTAGGTGATTGCCAGTGAACAACATATTTAAATTTCGGACCACATTGGATATCATCCTGAATATTTTCATAACCTTTAGCAGATAAGATCTGAAATTTAATGTAGTCGCAAAATCGTAAAAAAATTGACGAGGTAGTGTGGTGTACTTAAGGGCATACGAGAAATTAATGTTCAGTAACAGCGCACATATTCCTTCACGGTTATAGGCAATATACATTATCTAGTTCAGGATTTTAGAACCAAGTACTTAAAAGTTATTACCTTGATCTGCGATATACAAAACTCCTCCAGGCGAAACGCTGATAGCAGAAATGCTTTGGAACAAAGCATTAGACGACAATAAAGTTTCAGCATTATTTGTTGTATCATCCGCTATAAGGGCGCACGGGCAATCTTGTAAATCCCTGCTGTTTCTAATGGGGTTTGCAGTTGTAGTATTTACGGAACATTGACATTTCCTGTCTTTCGGTTGCAACTTGCCGGCAAAATGGGTAATTTTTCCTGCTGTGTCTATAAGGCGAACGTAATATGTATTCCGTGTGTCTGATTCCGCTATGTACAGGTCACCGTTGGGGTTAAATGCTAGAGCGAGCACTGATCCTGAAAGCAGAAAATAGTAAATTAGAAAACATCTACAATTACAATTACTCAAGTAAAGTTTCTTGAGGGAGCGTTTTCGCTTTTTGCCCATCTGGTACAATTTCTGTAAATGCTAACTTTAATTCTCTTGAAACTAGATTCTGACAAACTTGTATAATAATGAATGAATCAGTCGAAAATTGATTTTAAATGAGCTAGGTGTTATTTTATCGAGATAATTTTTAATTACAGGCCAATTTACAACGCAATTTTCCGTTTTTGTTTTACGGTTAATAAAACACCTAGTGGTACATTCACGGATTCGTTAATGCGCCATTTGTTATTGGCATGTGAATATTAAATTTTTTAGTTACTATGGAAATAGGATATAACAAAATAATAAAACATTGATAGTATAAATTAATAAATCAAACAATAATACACATCTTTGAATTTGGAAGGTAATCGGGATACTCCAAAGAATACTGAATCTTCCATAGAAGAACGTTTACATTATAACTAGACTTATCGTTTTATCCGATATTTTCATAATAATACACAATAGAAAACGTAATAAATTTAAACTGATAAAGAACAAATAAATATCATAAGAAAATAAAAAGTCTTCAAACATTACGTGAAAACCTTTCCGAGACGAAAGTCGAACGCCCGCCACTGCGTGAATAACGCCTTGGCTTTGCCCCGGGCGTCTATTTTAGCAGTAAGACTGCAGCAGTTGGAAAGGCATTCACAACTTAAACTTGCCTTTAAAAAGTGTTGACTATTGTTGCATATTTTTTAGAAAGTACTTTCCAACTGGACTGGCTGGTTTAGCTGGATTTTAAGAAATTTCCTGGGTAACTGCTCATAATTAATCAGAAAAGAAATAAAATTATTGTCTCTCAAGTGTCTCTCTGGCTTTCAGCAATTTTTAACAATAAAAATGATTGTATTCGTTAATCTTGAGTGGATATCGCGACAAATTAAAGCGGTTTCTATTGACAATAAACGTGTTATTTTTAACTTTACAAAAACAAAAAAAAATAACTATATTAAACTGCAAAATGAGTAAAAGTAGAACAAATTGATTTCTATGCGATGGTGGCTTGAATTAAATGAAAACTGACCATTTCCAATCTTGAACCGTATTTTTGAGCTTTAAAGATCTTTTTTCTTAGCTGTTTTTAGGCTTCAGTGAAAATATCACATTTTTTTAGGCTACTCTACTGCCGACTCCAAAGGAATTAATCTAAAAAAAATAACTCATTTTTTTGTTTCAAATTTACAAAACTCCTAAATTATAATTCCACAAGATGATAACTAGTTGAGATACTCAGGATTCACATTGCAGCATTAATCAAACGAACTGAATGAGTGAAAACCATCTTTTAATAAGAATTTATTTTTGCTCAGTTATAAATCAGATATATTGACTTATAATAGAGTACAAAAAATTATTATTCTAAGATTATTGATAGCAAGTACACAAGAAGCAAACACACCAAATTAGTAACGTATGTAAGCAAACCAGCTGGATTCTCAATAATTTAAGTTAACGGGAGAAAACGGGGGAATGGAATGTATGTTGAAGTGTGTATAATTTTAATTAAAATTTGGGTGGACCTCTTTCGATTGGTTAAGCAATCATTGAGGGCCTTCGTCAATATGTATATGCCCCATCACAGCAAGTTAAAGGGTATCTATACATTTTAGCGATGGGTCTGATTGGAAGCAAACTGGCCGAAAAATCACGGTATATAAATAAACACAACAGAGAACTTTTCTAAGGAAGCAGATGTGTTTTTTCAAAACCGATTACTTCAAATTAAATAATTAAACGAATTGAAAACGATTTGAGGTCCTGATAGAAGTTATACATATATTGTTCCACTTTCGCTCGTGTTAAAAAGTTCGTCTCATTGGTGTAGTAAATTTTAAACAACTCTTGACTTTATAAAAGTGTAATCAACATTATCATATAGGAATATGACACAGTAATTTTCCACAAGTTGGACTTTAATCAGAAAATCAATCGTTTCTCTTCCTTTCATACACGTTTCCAAAATATTCTCTAATGTTAAGTTTTGAGCTAATTTTGCAAATTATGATGACTTACCTAATTCTTTTTCAACTTCAAGAGTACGATTTTGAGCTTTATGGCAATGAAGTGGAGTTCCAGCCACCACAGATACTTTCATTTCTGGCGTGAGTTTTAGAATTAGACGATCATCTATGAAGTGGATAGCTCCATCCAAGGGACTTAGAGTCAGTCCTGTGGGCCATTGGAGCTGCGCCTGGAACAAAATAATCACCCATTATAAACGAATTTAGCACTGCAGTTATTACATAAGTACTTAAATAAGGTTTGTTTAAATAATGTGTTTCTTTGATTCAGCACACTGAAGGTATTGATGTTAGTAAGAGAGGAGACTTTTAAGTATTTCTTACGCTGTCTCTACTGAAAAAACATGTTTCTATATATTATAATAATGTAATCTAATAACTATTCGATATCATGCACAAATCCCATCTTACCCAGTCAACCACCCACAATAAACAGTATTTTATAATTTTTTATTCAATTCATTAATTATCAAAATTAAGTTTTACTAAATTAGGATTTTCGTTAAAATAAACGAACATTTTTGTTAATAAATAAGAATATTTACAATACCCACCTCAGAATGGAGTAGAAATAAATCATTTGCACATTTGATTTATAGAACCGACCCTAATTCATTTTTCTCATCACATCCAAGCCAATTACAACTTTTTCGGAAACAAACAGTATTTGTCTATTAATTCTACTGTAAAATTTGTTGACTATCGTCTTTTTAAATTAACGTCAATCAAAAACCGTTTGTCAAATCAGTCAAAAACCGTTTGTGATTTGGCGTCACAAAGCATACAATAATGATTCGTGGCCTGCACATTAAATTTATTAATAAATCATTAAATTTGAATTAAAATTATTTATTTAAGAACTGGAGTTAGAATGACTGTTGAGCAAAAATATTATTTTTTCTATTCTGAAAAATAGGATCCGCTCACCCGAAAGACTAACAGGCATAAGAGATAAAACTGAAAACGATAAACAAATTCAGGAAATGATGAGAGATGAAGGGCATACATGACATAGATAAAACATCTTAAGCAATGATAATGGCAAACTAGTTCTGGAGACAACGGGACAACTTGCTAGACGGAGAAAATATATTTTAAAACTTTTCATAACAAAATTAGGCCTGATGTTTGGTCACCTACAAACCATCTAATAATGAAAAAAAAAGGACGAAAACTAACGAAATAAAAAGATATTCGGAAATGAAATTAGAGGACATTGGAAAATGTACCAGTTCTTACGATTTCAACTCCGAAATATTTAACTTATGAGTTTGGTATTGAGTCTATGAGTCATGATCAGAGGGTAGACGAGCGCCCAGAACTCTGTGAATCTATTCGTTGAGCATTTTTAGATGAACATATATGTTTAATGTTCAAAGAATATGATTAAAGGAAAAAATACGCAGTTTCTGTGTGACATCATGACATAAAAGATACCTTCTACTTCGATTCATAGCGGTAAAGGATCAGTAGATAGACACCAGACCGCATCTCTGAAAAACTTGCTCCATCTGAAGAGGTGCTTTGACTACTTGTATACAGAAATGTTTTGCTCTGATGTTTCCAGAACCATAGCTTCCAGTTGGATTGTGAACTTTCGGAAGCAGCAAAGGTGAGAAGCAGATTAATTCAAATTAAACCCTTTGTTGGCACCATGGATGGATTAATTTGGACATAAAGATTTAACTATTAACTGCAAGTATAATCTATCTTTGAAAAATAGTATGATCGTATGAAAATGTCCAAAGTAGAATTATATAAACAAAACAGACATGTTTAAACCTGAATTTGTATTTCTGCAAATCAACAATAGATTAATTTTATTATGCTTTAAGTTACTCTGGTCAAGCAGCTCTGAATTTTCTTAAGTTTAAGTTACATTTATGGTTTTAAGTTCAATTGAAATTGATGTATAATTTGTATAATCATATTATAATATAAAATACATTTGGGAATCTAAGCGTGTTATAACTTCCCCCTAGGTGCACTCATATCATTACTTTCTCATTTAAATTTATTATTATTAGATAAAAAAAATTCAAGAAAATTCGGTCTTTTAAGAGAGTTAAAATAAAGAGTAAATCTGAAGCAAAATACTCAAACGGCTTTGTCATTGTGTTCGCACCTCCATCATAGAACGTAGCTTCAAAAAAATGTTGCTAAAAAATCGTACGAATTGACGGACTTATTTATTCCAAAAGTAAAACAAAACTAACTCTAACATAAACTCTAAAACACATTTGTTACATACATTTATGGTTTTAAGTTCAATTGAAATTGATGTATAATTTGTATAATCATATTATAATATAAAATACATTTGGGAATAGACTTTCACAGATTATAAATGAAATAATGATCTAAATAAAAAAATAAAAGCAGAATAAACTGGTGGTTTACATATATTTGCTGAGTAAACTATGCTAACCGGATTTATATGTGCTTAGAACAAAATATTCTTCTCGTGGATTAAAGAGGAAACAGAAATTACTAAATATTTAATTTAAATAATGTTAATATCTGTTGGACATTGCTGCATGATTCCGTGTACTTATTTATATTTATCAATCCCTTTAAATTCAGATTGTGTGACTTTCATTGATATATCCTTCATGAAACTGACAACTATTCAACTTGGAATATTAAATTTATTTTTACTTTTTATATACATTCTTTATGGATTGAAATGACTGACTAAATCAGGCATCCCATGAGACACTGATCAATTTTAATTAGTTTAATTGAATTTTAAACTTTTCGAGTGCTTTTCACACGGAATTATAAATGGATCAGGAAACAATTAACAGAAACCTGTGCAGCGCTACAGTGCCACAAATCCAATCCAACTTCGGAATACAAAATGGCAGAATGCAATTCAATTAATTTTTTAGTGCCAGACGTTTAAATTAAATTAAAGGACTAATGCGTCATTAAGGGGAAAGTTAATGCAAACATGGAAACCGAACGAAATAGGCAATTTAACTTTTGCCGTTAGCGGACCCTAACTGGATTTTTGATATAATTCGTGGAGCATGTTTGATGGACTAGTAATTTTCATTAGGCTGCTTTCAATTTTGAAATTGAAGCGGTTACTTGATTGGTACAAGTTTGGGTTCAGTGCAATAGGTAACAATCATACGTTTGAAAATTTTCGGAAAAATTTTGAAAAAACAACGATTAACAATTGTATCAGATAGATACTAGTAGCAATGGCAATTTCTAAACAAGTTGGTTCCTTTATATGCATGTTATTTTTTTATGTTGCAATTAATTCAACAACAGACATGTTTGCTGTAGTTTTATCTGAATGGTTAAGTTGATAATTGTTTTGTTGAGGACTTGATAACACAACTTTTTTACAGAAATAAAAGAAAATTAATTAAGTTTTACATTTCGCGCATATAAAATAACAAAAAAGGGTGAATTTTGATTTGCTTACAATCGATGCACCTTACACAAAAATATATGGAGTACTTCATTAATTTAAAAATTCGTTAGTCCTGAAGCAAATGTACCTAATATAGCCGATCGTCTGTTAGAGCATTTTAATAACAGTTCTGAAGAAAATTGTTAAGGGGAAGTGAAACTAGAGACAATTTGAAATACAAAAAAATGAAACATTCAAGCGCCTAGCTTTAACCAACAAACAACGAGTTATTGTGCTCACGACAACTAAAAATTAAGAAGACCAATATTTTGTAATACAGATAGCTGAAGGGAACATGGGCCAAGCTATAGATTATATATTTCTGACTAGATTTTGAAAATTCAAGAATTATATTGATTAGTTGATTGTGCGATAGTTAATTCGGCACTTAGTAATGAAATTTTCGTTTCTTGTTTAATATCGTCGCCTACCGAACCTTGTGACATAAATCTAACACTGTTTAATATTGTTGCTTTTCTCAAGTATTTAATATTCCTCATCTGAATGAAGTGGCTTATTACATGTCATATCTTTAGTCATTTTATCTCATTATCATTATTCATTTCATTATCAGTATTCATTATCATTTTTAATCATTATCATTATTAAAAAAATATTTTTCAGTCCAATTTTGAATATAATACCATAACGCTAATCGGAGTAAAGTACGACTGGGTGAATTGAGTAGCTCAGATGGTGTCACTGCCGGTCTCAAACCCGAATAAAAAAAGGAGGGCTGGAGGGCAAGGCCAGCAACCTACCTTCCATAAAACAATCGCTATGCTCATATAGCCTCGGAACATGTCGGCACAAGCAAGGATAAGAAAAATGACATATACGGCAGATATATGAGCTGACACAGCGGAAACAAAAAGGATGGCACGAGCCAACGAAATGAGAATACTAAGAATGATCATAGGGAACAAACAATCGGATCAAAGAACAAGTGATGAAATTAGAGGAGAATGAAGACAGAGGACGTTGTTAGACGGAGATACATCACATATCCAGGATGGAGAACAATAGACTGGCAAAATCGCCAGAAATGGAAACCCAGCATCCGGCAGACCACCAGACCAGCTGGTCGACATCCCAAGAGGGACAAACGAAAGGGTAAAACAAGCCTCAAGGCCTCCGCAAACAAGAAGAAGAAGTAGGGTACATTACCTGGCTAGCCGATATTGCTCCATTACATGGTATAGGTACCCAGTGATTGTGGTGCCCATGGTTTCCAATAAGAGTGTGGATGATTCCTTTTTGGTCAACTGCTCTGACGTTGGTTCCATCAGCGATATATAAAGTGCCATCAACTGCAATTGCAATGCCTTTTGGATGAGCTAGGCGAGCGTATTTTGCCGGTCCTTCGTCACCGCAAGCAGTATCGTCACCTGGAATGCATCGTTCCCCGTTTCCAACAACCTGGAACAAAATTAAAAGTTTTTATTGTGATTAGCTCAAAGACAAGTGTCGGTAAACTAGTAGGTATTTTTAACAGCAAACACAAGGACTTTATAAAACGGGCTGATTTTCAAGGATCCTATTCTCTTCTCTCTTCGAATCTCTTATATCAAAACTGCAAAACTAATTTCGGAATGATGACTTGCGACTCTAAATGCGTCAGAATTATCTTACAAGCCTAATAAAAATAAACAAAATGTATGGATAAAATGTGAAATAGCAGACAAACTTTGCTTTTCCTTTGGTTCATGAATCACTACTGAACTGAAAGTGTATTTATTGATGTGGATGACTTGATGGCTCGTTTTTTTTTATAAATTTATGGGGTATGAAAATAGATTACATTGAAATTGTTATAATTGCTTTGATAAAAAAATGGTTGATGCTCATGATGAAAACTCTATAACAGTAAATTTGAAGATAACTCTTTAATTCTGGACGCTGTCTAGCGCTATGTCTGGGTTAAAGAACCTTTATTGACATTTTTACAAATATACACTCAGTTTTTTGCAACTATGATATCTTAAACTGAATAACACAACGAATTAAAATTCTTATGATGATTGAGTAAAGTAATAAAGTGCGAATCGAACATGAGGTGTATTATGACATATATAACAACAAATATCCAGAAAGATCAATCCAGTCATTAGTCAGTAAAATTGAGAGAGTGTTTCGAGATACTCTGTAGAAGATAAGACAAAGAATGGACACCTTTCGATTCATGAAGCGAATAAGCTGAATAATTTAATCCTTGTTGAATAAAAGGTATATATTAGCATTTTTGAGGTGGTCGCAAGTACAATTTAAAAAAATTGGGCTCCTAAAAGATCCTATACATCTGGTACAATAATGAATCAACTTCGATTTAGACCCACGAATGCAATTCTGCCAAATCTTATTGGACTATTTATTATTTTATTTTGAATGTTGTTTTGTGTGTGTGACTTTGCTTTGTAATTTGTCTATGATTTTGATGACAATAAATCAAGTTATTATTGATATTCCTATTTTGCTATAATTTTCCTTTCCAAATTAAAAAAAAATCTCGGATGAATCAATACACTCAGGTAACGTTAGTGATGGATCAGAGAGCAACACACTCAACATCCTGAAAAAGTTATTTTTTGGGTAGCAGAAGCGCTTGGTTAAAACGTTGAAAATAAATTAACCTGCGTTGTTACCCTCACCCAGACAACATTAAAAGTTGAATTGCTCGCAAACGGCTCATTTTAGAGAGCTGTGACGGTTCCTCTAGTTTTTGAAAACATTCACAGCAAGAAGCGGAAAGCAATAAAGTTTAGTTAGTTTAGTTTAGTAGTTTAGTTGAAACTAGGCCTGGGTGACACAGTGGATTTTCAGGTGTTCACACAGCGACACCGATACGGCATGCCGTCTTGATACAGCGACACAGCGTGCCACACTTTTATATGTTGGGAAATAAAAATAGAAGACGCTGTTTCGTGATATCTAGTGGTTCGTAGACGTTCGTTCGTCCTGGCGGTACTTTTAAACGGTGCACCGCGTTCAATGTTTTTTTCTTTGGTTTTACTAAATAGTAACTACTAAATTACTACTAAATAGTAATATACTAGACGCCGGTTGTGTGGTTTTAATGAAAGGAATGAATGAAGTGGCAACATGTTTTCTTCGTGTAAAGCCTATTTGTCTCACAAGTATCTGTGATTGGTTTCGAATCTTACGACCGAATTAATTATGTTCCTTTATGTATGCAAGGCCTGACAAAACCATTTAAGTTAGCTTTTTAGCCTTCTTCGCCGACTGATTTTTCATGCAATCCGGTACTAATCAAAAGGCAGGCATTTGCGGTTTTGCTTTGTTCAAATATCGAAATCCCAGATGTTGTACTGGTACCTGCGACCAGCATTCTATGCGAGCCATAGCGAACCGAGATAAATAAAAATTCATCAGTAATCAGCAGGCAAGTAGTAGTACATCGATTTTGTAAAATTCTAAAAATTACAATTTTTCCTCAAAAATTGCATAACTAAAAGTAATAAAGTAGGCACTCGTAGTCATTTTTCAGTAGTCAAATTTCCGGAAAAAAAGTTGCTGTGTGTGCTATATTTCAATATTTAGTAGCTTTTATCTCCAAAATTAATAATAGGACACAATAGTCACTAATAACAAAAAACATTAAGCGAGAGTTAAATGCTAAAAGTATACTTCAAAGAACCACAACTTTTTTTAATTCCTATTTTTTACTTTTTTTCTGAATATATTGGCAAATAATACAAATATGAGAAAAACAAGTTGTAGATATACATTAAAAAGTGCCCGTCTATTTCGATCCAATCGATTGATCATCTTTTCATCTATCTTACTCCCTTAATTCAGAATTTGCTGATAGCATTTGTAGAAGAACACTTAAACAATTATCTTTACTCTACTCGAAAAAGAGGGATTCGAAAGTCTACAATCTCGTTTTAATATATGGAACTCACGTTTTTACAGAAGTAAAGTTAAATGTTATATTTCTCTGTTATTTAATTAGAATAATTCCTTTTATTTGCTAAATAAAGTTTTGATGAAGGCAAAGATTCAAAACAAAGTGTAAAATACAAAATATGTATAAGTATCGAAAAAAATGTAAATTATGCAAAATCGGAGAACGGTTTTGAGAAAAATTAAAAATATTTTGTTCTGATCGTTTAAAACCTCAATTAGATATTAAAATAACATATTTCAATAAAGGCTGAAAATTTATATTTATTTAATATGGATTTTGTATCTCCTTGTATACTATATGCAAGGGTCCACGATCTAAAGATTTTTCTTAAATTCTTATAAATATCCAATTTAAAAGAATAATGTTAGCACGTATAAAGTAATTATAATCAGAAACACTACACCAAAATCACCGTTCATTTCTCAAAACACTGATACTATTACCTTAATATCCATATTAATAATCTACATGTAATTAATGCGTCTCGTCTTGAGGGAGTCGCCGGAGATGTCATACCGATCCTTATTCAAGGATCAATAAAGGACCGCTTATGTTGTTAATATTATTCGGAATACTAATGACTTCTAGTAGAATAATAATTAGTTAAGCTTACATTTCGCGTTAAGAGGCACCTGGTAATTTAATATTAAACTTGGTTATATTTGAGCGGATCGATGGAAGTTGAAGTCGGAACTTTGATGGAATATTCTCTTTTAATTATTCTGGATAAAATATTTTTAGTTTAAGCTAGCAGTATATTTTAGATTAAGTTTAGCATACTTTTAAAGCTACTCCAAATACAGGGTGTGTCATAACAATGAACCATTACAATAGCAGATCTGCTGATCTGTAGAAAGCGTCAACGTTTAATGATAAAATTCTACAAGCAGCTTTAAGAATTTCTAGTATGATCTACTCATTCACTGTTACACATTTGAGAATAAAATGACCTAAAGACAAAATGACCGTCCTAGACTCCTTTACTACAAAATGCATGTTTTTATGCTGAATATGCAAAATAAAACCGAATAAATCAAAATTATGTTACTGTGTCAGCGAGTTCAACTACATAATTGTTTATTCTCAAAATACTTTAAAGAATCGTTTTCCGAAAAGATTAATTTTCTTTGGAAAGACGTCGCACTTTTTAAATATTCACCAATATTAGTAATTTTATCGCTGATTTCCATGCAGCTTTGATAAACAATGTGGTGTTTAGTAAGAAAATCAAAAATAATAAGCACTTAAATTATTAGTAAAACGGAAATTGTTATAGGTCAATGGTTGCTGAAGATTAAGACTTTCGCATCTACATAAAAAAAAATTTCGAGGAATATTATAAAATGAATTAATTAATGGAAATAATAAAGTAGCAATAATTGTGGTAGAGGCTTCGTTTTGAAACACGGATATATAATTTTTTATTATAATCGAAAGAGCAACATAGAAAAGTGCCCTTTCTCGTAGCAAATTTTCTGCAGTTCAGCACTGTTATATTTGCTATGGCTCAGTATTTCATGATTGCTTTTAAAGGAATATGATGCCTCAAGATTCTTGTAAATTCATCGTGGGTTAAGTGCTATCAAGCGCTAAATGCGGACTTAAAAAAATTCTTCGTTATCTATAAGTGATAATGTTCTATAAAAGTCGACAAACCGTCTTCTGATTAGATTTGACGGATAACGATATTTTATAATGAATAGTGGACATGGTTGGTTAACCGAACAACTTAAACAACAACTTTCATCTTGCTTTCAAGCGATGTTTCAGCTATAGACAAAGAAATGTAGTTAATCACGCCATTTCCGCTAAAATATCGCATGGTAAAAGAGCAGAATTTTTCGATACCTTCTAGCAAAAGTCTCGTTCTTAGAAAATTCCTTTGTCTTCAATAATATCAATAATCTACAGCGACCATTTAAAACGTCTTCGTCCTTTTAAGATCAAAATTGTTATATAAAAAAATATGTGCGTCATGGGACGCTCGACGATTATTAATAGAAACCATAAAACATTGAACTCCTTTTCGCACGATTTCTGACGAAAGCAGTTCCGGCGAATATCCATCCATAGGACACCGGCCCACGGACTACACACTATTATATTCAGACGAAGGAACCACAGTCTACACAATATTACAATAGACGACCGGGCTAATGTGTGCGTCAAAGAGAGAGAACTGCGTAGCTACTTGTCTTTATCTATTACGCAATGCTATCCATTCACACCGTGCCATAAGAAGTTATCACTTCAAAAAAATATATTTCTCTATGAAAACTCCTTAGACCTCCACAAAGAATACCGTAAATTAAAGAATTCGGCATTGCATTGAACGGAGAAAGTGAATATCATTTTCGACACACAATAAAACTGAAACATTAAAAAAACTTATATTTTCAAATTATTGTTTTGGATTGCTCGTGCGGCATCATCGTATGGCACTGTAGAATTATGATCTTTAATAAACTCACCGGTTCGCTATTTATTGTGGGATCTTGTACGGGTTCAAGTGAGAGAACTTTCAAGATTTGATGTCTCTCAGGGTCAGAAACGTACAAATGACCATCTGCAGGTGATATTGCCAGGTAGTACTTGTACGCCACTTGTGTTGACCTGTAAAATTATACAAAGATAGCAAAATTAATACAAATTGTTGACTACATCATTTATATTGCCAAATATTAAAAATTTTAATTAATTTTGATAGAATTAAATGATACAATTTCCATATCGAGCAAAGCAAAAATTGTTGACTAAATGTGTTCCTAAATTTGACAAACGTTGCTTACCGTAACTGTAACACTGTGTACACTTTTCCCTCAGGAGTAATCCTCCGGACAAGGTTAAAATCTCCAACATATATGCTCCCATCGGGACCGCTGGCTAACGATCCAGGGGTCAAAAGTCGGGCATCTTTCGCTGGACCTCCACACTGTCCAGGGCAATCAACGCTACGCTGAAGCCCAGTGCCCATAACTACTTTTACCATTCGTGGGTATTTCTGTAATTAATCATAAGGGCTCTTAAATATTGTATTAAACTATAAACTTGTTTATGTTTTTTTGGGTTTGTTTCATGTCCGGATATTAACTTTGATATTTCTACGCTCAATCCAGTGTTCATTCATTTATAAATGGTTTTCGTTAATACTTTTTCTTGTTAGTAATTATTACCGAAACCCGTTTTCAAAATCCCGTAAACAAAGTCACAATTTAAAACCCTAGAGTTTCTTAAGGACTCGTCTTGCTCCAAAACCCTTTCTACTAAAATAAAGAGAACCAGTAATCTATACTTCCCACGCAAGAACAGCAAATCCGCTAACAGCTACTCGGGGTATTATTACAACTCGTATTTAATTTAGATATTATTTGTTTGCTTCAACTATTTCGTCCCACAACAGTATCCGATTTAAAAGAAACCTGTTCGAATGTCTCTGTTCTTTAAGTGTGTGATTATAGTCCATTATCGTACTTCAATAACAGTTTCCCTTCCTTCGACTATGTAAACAATTTGTTAAATCCCATTTTAGCTTTATCATATATTTACAACTAGTTATTCACACCATAATATATTTATTTTCGTCATTTTAATAAATACTTTTATCTGATCAAAAGTGTTTTAAATAGTTGTATGCTGCAGAATCAAGGTAGTCGATAGAACTTTGAAATGTAATATAAACATCAAATGGCTATTTCTATTGTTTAGTCCAATTCTTTCCATTTACAAACGTTCAAATGAAATTTAGCAAACCATTTTAGTTTTTATATTGTGCATATTTTAAGTGAAATGCATAAATTTTGAATTTATCGTTACTTTTATATGAAAATGCCTCCGTAGATGATGTGAAAGCGAAAACCACCTTAATTTTGTTAGTTGATGATACATAAATGCGTAAATAGACAAAATTGCTCTGATTTGAACTCTTAACAAAAATAAATAACTAATGTCGAAAATTGATGTTTTGTGTAATTAACTGGGTGTTCTTTTGTAGAACTTTGAAATCCCACAAAGTTTTGCCATGCAAGTATTTTGCTAAATTGATAAATGAGTTCCATCTGGAAAATATTTACTTCTTTACAGAATCGTTTCTGAAATCTATCGGTTTGAGGAAATGGCACTCAGAATTGAGCCGTATAATCCAATCTGAGTAAAATCCGCCAAAAATATATGATATCATAATATGATATCATAACTTTGTTATATACCGGGAGTTGCAATTAGGATGGTAAGCGGCTGTATCTTGGAAAGTTTTGTTGAAGAGTGTTCGAAAAAAAAAATTGATAACAAACTTGAAGAAAATAGTTTGCCGGAAATTAATTTCAAATTTCTCAGATCACCGCTAGGTGGCGTAATTGCAAACGGTATTTTAAAAAGTGGATTTTAAACAGAAGTTGTTCCGATAAGTCACACATCTAGTCAGTTTAGTCAAAAAATCATGAAAAACAGTATTACTTTCCTTATGCACTTTTTTGTCAAATGAAGGGTAGGAGGAGAGTCAAACCGCTTAATGTAAAGAAACCTGTAACTCCTAACTAAAAGTTCATAAGGAAAGTAGTACGGTTTTTTATGATCTTTTGACTAAACTGACTAGATGTTTGAGTTATCGGAACAATTTCTGTATAACATCGACTTTTTAAATAGGGTTTGCCATCTAGCTGTCATCTGTCTGAGATATTTTAAAATAATTTAGGGCAAATTCTTTTTTTCAAGCTTGATATCAAATTCTTTTTCCGAACACTCTACAACAAATGCTTTCCAAGATACAGCCGCCTACCATCCTTATTGCGACACCCGGTATATAAAAGCAACCTATTTATCAATGCAAAGTGAGCGTCGTATTAAAATGTGTTTTTGGTGAAGTTCGTTTAAATGTTGAAATCATGAAACACATGGCTTGCTTATTTAAATTAAACAAGTAGTTTAGCACAAGTACGATTTTTATTATCATTTGTGAACACTCTCCGTAATGGAACCAAACCCACCTAAAATAGATGCAGGTGAAGAAAATCTGATAAAATAAAATGCAAAAGTATGCGTCAAGAAGTCGTTCATGAAAATCAACAATGATAATTTTTTTTTCAAATTATTTAATTTAATCAATCGTCAACTCTAATTAATATTTTTGTTTATTTCGAACAAACTTTTGACTTAGTTCTAGTGAGATCAAAAATAATGCTCGTTAATTCGGAATAGTACTCATACTCTAATGAATAATAATGCAAATACTAATATAAATGAAATTAATGAAATGTACCTTGAAATGCAAAGTTGATCCATCTCCTTTTTGGAGAATACCCTCATGGAAATTGTAGTGATGATGAATGTCAAGTCCCCATCCTCCAATATCGGAGATATCGACATCGAATCCTTTGATCTCTGCGGTTTGAGTGGTCCAAACTAGATCGTGACAAGATTCATGCTGGTAGCCAATGGAAACCTGTAATAATTATTACAGTTCAGTTCGTATATGGAAACACATGCAACATATGATAATAGACAGTGTTTAATATAATTATGGTTCCCCAAGAACTTTTTATAAGATCAAAAGTTTACCTTAGCAGCTGCAATTCCATAGACTTTCTGCTTGTAGATATTTCGCTTGTTCCACGCAAACGTGTGGAACAGATTAGGATCAGCTTCATAAGTTTTCACGTATAAGCATCCCTCTATTTCAACACGTACGTGCACGTGCGTAAGTGTACTGGGTATCTTATCATCCGTTAATTTCATTTGAATGGTGGTTAAGTAGCCGAGTGTTTGTGAACTTTGATATAAAATGTTCAAGTTTGATCCTGAAATAAAAAATCGATTGTGTAAACCGAAAGAATAATAAACTTGCAGCAGCAAACTGTAGGTGGAACTTTATAGCGTGCATAAAACAGGAGATCTAATTTATTAAAAACCGACAGTTTTATGGTATAATAAAAATCATATTTATGCCAGTTAGCCGGAATTAAGTTTACTATTTCCATAAAAGTCCCATCTTGCCAAGGGTAATTTTGAATAAGTAAAGAGTTTCTGGAAATCTGCCAATCTAGTTTTAAAACAATGTATTTACGTTGGTGGGTAGTTATTTTTAAAGGAATATACTGATGGAAAACTACATTTCCAGAACTTTTAGGCAAGTAGGTGCTAGAAAAGTGTTTTGGAAGCACTGTAAAGTTGTATGTCTGGGAGATTATTTTTTATTACATGTTACGAAACTTTAGTTCACATATTGCTCTTTATAGTATTTCGAGTTTTCATAATATTCAACTCGTCGTTTCAAGCTGTGTTAACCATTCCTAGTTGAGCGGAAGCCGAAAAATATTATCCATTGTGGATGAAAAAGTTATGAGTAAAAAAATTGGAGAACTGCATTTAAAACGAAACTAATTTTATGGATTTTATATACAGGGTGGGCCAACGAAAAGGTCGCACCTCTATTTATGACTCTCCTGGTCGATTTACAAAAAAAAGCTCGAACACGTCAACTTTGATTTTTAAGGGGACGTCTTGCTCAACATCACTGCATAATACAGGGTGTTTCATAAACAAGATACTACGTCACACTTTTGATTTTCAAATGGAAACCAACTAGTTTTATGTCATTTTTCGATCTTGCCAGAAGTTTGTAGTAAATTTGGTATAACATGTTCTATACCTGTCGTCAACCGGTTCAGTTTTGCGCATGTTGTTGAATGATCGAGGTATTGAGCCATTCGAAAGTATCGCACATGGCCGTTTCTATGGATGCTACTGACAGTTGTCAAAACAACTGTCAAGTGTCAGTCCGAGTCGCCGTCAAGTCTTAATGTAGGCTGAAACGTTTTTTAAACTTAACTACTCGTTTAGGAACCTAATTTAAAACCCGAAATTCTTGCAATAAAATCTGCTGTAAATAATTACATCTACATAATGATTCATAGCAAATTTGCAACATTTAATAATTTCCCTTAAATTAAATAAATGAAGTATTAAGCCAAACTAATATTTATTAGACAAACATATGGATTTCAATGTGGTAACAAATGTTGAAAATGGTGTCAGTTTTCCTCCATACAGTAATAAAGATTTTGTTCAATTCTTTGCGGCCATTTAACAAGCTATCTGAAGAAATGTTCTGCACTCATGTGTAATCCGGTGGCAAACCTCTTCAATCGACTCTGGTTTTGAGTCATAAATTTTGCTATTCAAATACCATCAAAGAAAAAATCCGAAGGATTTAGGTCCGGGGACGTCGGTGGCCATTCAATTGGACCTCACCTACCAATCCATCTCCCAGGAAAGTTGTTATCCAAATTTTGACTTACAGGAGCCACATAATTGGTGGTGCGCAATCTTCTTAAAAGATGAGATAAAAGAGAATATGTTTGGCGTTATGGTAACCGTCGTTTTCTATTATTTCCGTAAGTATTGGATCTATTATTATTATTATATAATTACTATTATATTTTCCAGCATCTCCAGGTATAACTCGCCCGTCAAGTTTCCAGGAATCAAAAGAGGTCCTACAATATGATTTCCTAATATACCTGCCCAAACGTTGAACTTGCTAGGATGTTGGAAATCGACTTCTCCAAATAAATGAGGGTTGAGTCACTCCAATAACGAGAACTATGTCTATTATAAACCCCGTGTAAATACAATTTCCATTCATCTGAGAAGCAAATATTAAACAGCAAATGTCTATTGTTGAGCAACCGTTGACTCATTTGTCCGCAGAACTCCAAATTTCTATCATAATCATCTTCATTAAGTTCATGTACAAGTTTTATTTTGTAAGGATAAAATTAATGACAATATTTTCAATATTCTTCGTATTGACGTGTGAGAAACTTCGGAAGATGTAGCCAGTTGGCGAGTACTTTGGCTATTGTCAAGTGCTACGTGTCCCAAAACCGGATGATCACGGGTCCAGATCCTTCAAACTTCTTAATTAATCTTTCCACATACTTATCGTTAATAGTTCTGTCTGGATGTAACTGATTAAATAAACGAGCTGTTTTTTTGAAAACAATTTCAAACTAAATATTTATTATTTCTACTCTTTGGCGAATGTAAAATTTCATTGTAATGGAAGACGTGCACATTAAGTTGAAAAACAATATAAGCACACACTGACACTTCACGGTGACTCGTTGTTTTTGCTAATCTGTCAGAGGTACCCATAGAAACAGCAAACTGGGATACTTTCGAACGGCCAATATCTCAATCATTCAACAACAAACGCAAATAAAATTGACACGGTTGAAGATCGGTATACCAAATTTACTCCAAACTTGTAGCAGGATCGAAAAATGACATAAAACTAGTAGGCTTCCATTTGAAAATTAAAAGTGTGACGTAGCATATTGTTTATAAAACACTTTGTATAATGCAGTGATCGTTAGCAAGATGTACCTTTGAAAATAAAAGTTGATGTGTTCGAACATTTTTCCTAGATCTACCTGGAGCGTCATAAATAGCCGTGCGACCTTTTCGTTGGCCCACCCTGTATATTTTGTCCATACTTCAGTTTCCACTTTCATCATATACTTTCTATTGCGCGCATATTCTCGGCTCGAAATAACTAACGCCTGATAAATTGGCTAGTCCTTTCCAGAATCTCAAACGTTATCTCTCTAGCTCACCTGGAATGGGGATAGATTCCTGAACAATCTGAGTTTCGGCGAAAATGACGCTCCTGCCCTGCATTCCCCCTACAGCTTCCGGCATCCACGTGCCAGTTATGATTGGTCGCAGCTTCTCAGGATCGTGCTCCTCGCAGACGTTGGGCAATGACCCATCCGAATCGAAGAATGACCTAGATACTCCAGGGAAGTATAACGCTGGATTGCGACTGGAAATGAAGGTTGAGAGAGTTAGGGATTGCTACACTTTGAACTAAGTTTTCAGAGTTGACGCATTCGACAAACATTTCAGAGCAAACGAGAGACTTGACTGCAGTGAACACATATTAAAACCTGCAGTCCTGAAGCAAAATTAGTGCACTAAATAAACACAATGCCGGGATTATAATCAATCAATTAGACGGTGAGTGTTCCAAATTTGGAATACATCAATCAGTAAATAGAGTTGCGATTGAAATGAATATGTATCATAATGGGTACTTAAAAAAAGTAAATTGAAGGTATGTGATGTTTTTTACTAAGGTGTGGTTCACATAGAGAGCTCAAAGAAAGTTGAGACTTACTTTATGTGCGTTGTATATACTAGGTATTCCATAAGCACATGGTCAAAAAGTGACCGCGACGTTGTTTGGCTCAAACGAAGGCGATTTAACGTTAATTTTATTAAGAAAAATTGACTGAGTTCTCTGTTGCTAATGGTCACAGTTCTTCAAAAAAACATGTTCTGAAACTCGCTGGTAATTTGTTTTTATGTAGAGCTAATAATTTGATGAAGCAACTGCGTTCATCCGCTTTTGGGCAAGTGGAAATTCTTGAATGTCGTGGTTCAACAACTACCAGAACCGAATGACCGAAATCAACTGTTTTTTCTTCAGTTGATGTATATGATCTTTTTGACATTTTCGTGATGTAAAATATGGTAGAATTCAATATTTCAATCCAAATATTTCTTGCAAATTAATAATATTTGAGGTATTAAGATCCCAAAAGCTCGCTTCTTTTCGTTACATTTCTGAGGAACGCAATTGAAACGAAATAGTTTCCAAAGCACGACCGACTTAAAACTGTGACCATGCCGATCATTCGATATTCAGATAGCGCTTGGCAATTAATTTATTTTAAAAGAAGATTATCGCTTACTCCGAGAGTTGCAGTTAATGCCTGAAATTGTTAAATAGCATGAAAACAGGAACTTTAACCCATAAACTATTAATGCTACAATATTTTAGATAAAACACAAAAACGTCAAAAATGGACTAGCGGATCAGCCAAAAATGCCAGTTGATTCCAGCCACCAAATAAAAAGTTCTGTTAGTTTTTAGATCACTACACTCAATAATTCCCCACTTGCCCAATGCAGATTGATTGTTTCGCCAAAATATGAGTTTAATATAAAAACAAGTTCAAAGCAGGCAATGTTTCAAAAACCTCATTTTTTTGTAGAACTTTGACTATCGAACCTAGGATCCGGACATTTCTCTTTAATAGTCAGGTCAGATCGTCGTTTTTTGAGTCGTAAGATCGTCGTAATGCCCTTTTGACCATGTGATTATGTTACATCTTATATACAGGGTGACTGAGTTTATAGTAGCAGGACTTTAACGGTCGACAAAAATGTAATTTTAAGATGAAAATATCATACCTACATATATTGAAGAATGCGTTTTTGAGATACAGGCTCATCTTAAGATTCTATAATAAAATTGTATATTCTAGGACTTATCGCAATCCCACTAATTGTTTAGTGTCTTTAGTGAAATTATGAATTAGCTATTTTCCTATTTCAAAATTAAAACAAATTATATCGATAATTCCCTATTTAATAAAAATATAATTCAGAATTACATAATTAAAAATATTGATTAGATATTTGAAGCAAACAAAATTCACTACTGCATGTTATTCAAAACATTTCTTTGATTGGAAAGTTTTCTCCTATTTCGTTTAACTTTGGTTATATCTTCTATTTTGCTCTAAAATAAATTTATAGCTGGTGTATTATCATCCCATTTCCATGAAGAACATAATTTTTTATTCGACCCTATCTTTGCCCGAGAATATAGTGCTGTTGATAGTAAGGTGTGAGTTAAAATAGTACGTGAAGTGGAAGTTTCAGATATTTAACTACTGGACAGTAAATGTAAATTATCTTTGAAGGGTTCAATTCTTTAATGAACTTACTCAATTAGGTGTTGGCTTGTTCCATCTTCAGTGAGTTGCATATGTATAGGCGGCAAAACAATTATCTGATTCCAGGGTACGTATACGGTAATTGTTTTTGGTTTAAACGGTGACCTCTGGAACTGAAGTGTGACGGCACCTCCTCCATTCACTAGAACGTCGAACCTAGAAAAAAACATTTGAATTTGTAATAATTGTAGATTTCAGACAATTTAGCTAACATTTTTGAATGATTCTATAATTTCACATATAAGATATTTGGCATTTATTATACTTTTCATTGCTATAATATCAGGAATGTTTAGATTTAAGATATATGGATTCGATTTTTTAAATTAATCCATATCCAGTTTAAAATTAACGGATTATGAACAATGGCACGATACAACAACCGCGATAGTAAAAATCTCTATCTAATCTAAAAAAAGTTCAACTTTTCCAGACAATATAGATTTGTGTATAATGTACTTAAAAAGAGTCTACCGGCATGTTCACTTCATAAAGACAGGCATCTTTAGAGAGCTCTTGTAAATCTTGCTTGGTCATGTTTGCTTCTAAAGCATTTGATTTAAATTGATATGTTTTAGTCGTTTGAACGAAACCGCAATCTCTCTCAAATGAAACAACAATTTTGAAGCACAATTAGGGCTGGTGAATTTGATTGCATCGGCTGTTGCAAGGTTTCTCGTTTAATGAGCTATATTATCAAAGCATACTGTTTGTAAAATTAATTTTGAATGAAACTAAAATTTGATACTATAATAAAACTAATACACAGGGTGAGTCAGTTTATAGTAGCAGGACTTTAACGGTCTATAGAAAATCTAATTTTAAGATGAAAATATCGTACAAACAGACAGGGTGATTTACGGCCGATTAAGGAGAAGGCGATATCCAATCTATCTTCAAATTTGTACAACGAAGTCTTGGATGTGCTCTATTGGCTATTTTTGATTGCAAAATTTTTTTTGCATTTGCAAAAGTACATGCAACTTTGATATTTTAAGCGAGCCAGATGTATATTATTGAACGCTTAGATTCGCCTTATACAACTGATTATACGATCTGAAGCTGTCTCCGAAATATTAAATAAACAGTAATTAATTTGTTCCAATAGTGGGATTTTCGGTCAACGGATGGTGGTAAAATAAAACACTTCTTTTTAATGGGCCAACGTTTCGACTATTCAAGTCATCCTCAGGGCTCTATGAAGTCAGTGCCATATTTACTCAAGCATAACATAACAACTGAGAGACTCGGTCTAGTAATACACCTGCCTTGAGAAGCATGTTATGCTTCTCAAGGCAGGTGTATTACTATGCATGTAAATATGGCACTGACTTCATAGAGGCCTGATCATGACTTGAATAAAGTCGAAACGTTGGAAAACTACGTGGAAAAAATTAATTACTGATTATCATCACGGTCACTAATCAACCACAACATATATAAATTAATTAATCTTGTAATACAACGCTATTTCTATACCTAGAAATTTAAAATTTTGGTACTCGGTTTGTTCCAAATTACACAGGATGTCTTGAATATACTGACCATTCGGCTAGAGAAAAAACTGCTCTAATTATATTTTTTCAAATAGAACACCCCGTATATTAGTTCAAATACGGGAAGACCATTAAATTTATTATACAATATATCATATTCTTATACCTACCTCAAGGATCAAATATCCGAAATAAATTATTATTCTTTTACATTTTTGCAAAAAATCGATTATTTCGACGTATTTGTTAAAATAGCCAAGAAATGTCAAAATAGTTGAAGATTTTGCAATTAATCAAACCAGTGGCAAGCTTGTCACTCAGCCAAGTTATAGAGACTTTTGTGCATTTTTAAGGCAGTTTAGATTAAATTATTAACCAAACGGAGTTAGAGAATAGTTTCATTAAGCATTAAGCAAAGTTAATTTTGATCGTACCTGTACAATAGCAATATTTCGCATAAACTTCCAATACAAAAAGACGAGTATCTATAAGCTACTCGTGCTGCAAAGTTTTCACGAACCCCTTGTAAAAGGTGTAATAATTACAAATAAATTTAATTTTTCAATTTGTCAGTTTGAAGACCCATAATTACGTAAGGAAGCCAAATCGGATTTTTTTTATATGAAATATTGGACTTATTTTCAGGTCTTCTGTTGGCCCTATCATTGTTGACCAACAATTTCGGGACAACCTGTATGGAGTACAAACATGAAGAAACCTCAGCTCATCTTGCTTTAGGCGTGAAACAATTCTTAATTCAACAGTTTGATAGACGTATAATCGGTGGAGCAGAACAACATCCCTGGACCCCCAAGATATCCTGATGTGTCATGATTCTATTAATATTGTGGGGCCACATAATAAAATATGGTTTTAGCAAATAACATCAGAAGCTAATACTGTTAATGGAAGCATTACTAAAACAGCACAAACAATCATAAAAAGACATTTTGTGGTTGAAAGATTAGCACTTGACATGTCCTATCATATTAAAAAAACGATTTAACCGACAAGCCACTCCCATATTTACTTTAGTTCCTTTTTCCTGTAAGCACTTGTGTGTAATAAATGCATTATTATTCGTTGAAAATCTGATATTGCAGCATCAAGTTGACATACTTTCTGCACAATGCAACAATCTGTAGAATATTAATAATTTGATTCATTTAAGTGAATTAAATTATTTTTAATTTTGCAGCTTCTGTTTTTTTAATTTTGCTTTAATGAACTTACATATATTTTATTTATTAATATTCAAACAGTAAATTATCAAAGTGCCATTTAAATCGTTATGTCAAAAATTATATAATTGGCAGAATTTATTTCCTTCAGCTTTGTAAAATTTGATTTTTAACAAATAGAGCGTAATTTGATCAAATTAGTATCAACAACCTTTGGTTAGTTTACTAGTAAAATTAAAAAAAAAAACACTTGTTCTGTGTATAACCCACCCAGTTCAATTTATTATAACTGAAATAATTGTTTCACATTTTTAAAATCACTAGGCCTATTTCCAATGAAAACATTAAACATTTCATAGTTTCAAGTTTCGCGTCTGCACTGAGCAACGCTGATCTAGACATACGAGTACAAACCAATTACATAAAAGCAGTGGTTTATCCAACATAAGTAAACCGAAACAATGCGAATTTCTGACGAAAGGGAGATTTCTTAATTGAAATTTAACCCGACTGGCTGGAAGACTGAAAACAGCAGAACCACATCAAAGATCGCTCTAATTTCTTTATAATTTTAAGGTTTTTGTCTTACACATCAGAGCAAATTAAACATAAATATTTGCTTTCTAATTAATCAGACGTCATAATATCGACAAAACAGACAATTGTAGCGCAAAACTAAACATTTTAGAATCTAATTAAAATACTTTAGAACACTTAAGTGTGTTTAAAGCCATATAAAATTTTAGAACTTGATCGGGGCACAGCAGTCTGAAAAACTATTTTCTAACAAAAGTATTTATAGCCGAAAGCAAAATTAGTGTAAAGTGGAACAAAATTGGGCAAGATGATTTCATCATTTAAAACGAAACGCAAATCCTATTACAATAGACAGCCCTTATTCTACAATGAATCAGATTCCCGTCGGCCTTGTCAAAGTTCCGACATCAGGCTCCGTTTTGGGTTTTATTTTAATGAGATAAAATTACTCTACTGTGAAGCACGGCAAAGTAAAAGAAAGCTATAAAATACGACAAATACTTCGTTAAATAAAAGACTGGAACCCTCCGACGTTTACTTTATCATTTGAAACCGTAGATTTGCTTACTTTCTTTGTATAAACAAGACGGCAAAGGATCAAACTAAAAGTAAATCCAGCTTTCGGGTGAAAGAAAATTAAATTAGATGTAACAGAGGCGTAGGAATATTTTAATTGCTGAGCAGCATAATTTGTCTCAGTAAGCTGAAACCCTTACATAAAAATAAACATGTATATACAGGGTGATTCAAAAATGGCGTTATTTCTGTGGAGATGTTGTCTGGGGGTGTTTCAGAAGTACAGAAAATATAGTAAAAATATTTGTTATTAAAAACTGAGATATTTGCAAAAAGCAAGATCAGAAGAATAGCAACGTTTTTCAAGGCAACCTGCCTAATTAGCATTACGTAAATGCCTGTTGCTTCTTAATTATCACAAACTGGCGTAACCATGAGTAGACATAAAACAGAGAAAGTAAAAGTGGCATTGAATATTTTGATGTTAAGATGACGGTGTCACTTTGCCGTCAGTGCTGCCAACCTTTTTGCGGTAAAACGTGCCTGAAGCCGCCACAGATGTCAACAAAAGAATTCGAACAGAGCCACACATTTTTAACAACAAATAAAATATAATTAAGTTGTTAAATCACATGAGGTGTTCGAAGTTGAGCCCGTTTAACTCCCAACATAATTGTGCGTGCCCGTATCAGATCACTTTATTGTGCACCTTTGGCAGCAGTCTGCTGTCACATTTTTAGTAGCTTGCTTCTTGTATTCAGTTAGTTAACTCGTGCTCAATTTGTACCGGTGTTGAGTAAACCAGATATTTAATGGGTCGTTGTGTCCCGTGTATTTTACTTACAAGGCAGGAATTTAGCACTTCCTCGAGGGAGTTATCGAGATAATTATCCGGTACCTGGAAAAGTATCAGTTGTTGTGAAAGGTTCCGATCTCAGGGAAGGATCTGCTGCAATTATCTCCATATGCCTGTTCCGTTTGAGCATCTCACGATCGTCCAGTATCGCGTCAGTTCCTGAAGCCAATCGTTCAGTGTCTTTAGCGTCCTTACAGCTTCTGCTGTGTTACTGGGGCATTCCCATATAACTAATAGCATATCCGCTAATTTGATGTTGGCCTATATTTTGCGAAAGAAGCTTCAAAGTAAGTCACAATTTGACAAATGCTTTTTATTCTAGGCAAAAGCTTTGTACCTGTACCTTCCTGATAATGACCATAACATCATTACGTCTTTAACTTTTCATCAAAAAATTGCAGAAGAGTACTTTTTAAACATTTTCGTAATTTGGAGTAAAGATAAAGTAAAACTTTTCTGTTCGAATGTTATGCGAAGTATATTAATAAGCTACCAACAATCAAACATGAGGCATTTCAAAATAACGCTTTTTAACAAAGTTGAAATTCAATTGTTCTGTTCAAATCTTTTTCGGCAATTTTCGACATTTTCGGACAAAATGTTTTGAATTTTTTTCTCGTATTCTTCAAATGCGCCCCTCCTATAAACCCTTAAGAGCAATGACGCCAATTTTGAATCACCCTGCAGAGAGAATTATTTGATATAAAAATATTAAGCCAAAAACATTTAAAAAACGTTCGATAATAAAAAACTCTTTGCTAGTGAAATTAAGTAAAATAGTCGGGATCTCACAATTGATGATTACGATTTAGAAAAAATGCGATAAAAACACTTTCAGTTAGTTGCAGAAAACAATTTGTGGCTGGATACTGCAAACCTTTTGAAATTCATATAACCATGATAACCTCGCCATATACAAAATGTGTTCAACACTCAATGATAAACTTTTGAACGCACATAGCTGTTTTCTGGATACATTAAATTCCAATAACATAACTGTCTACTTTCAAACAGGCAAAACTCGCGTAAACTCGAGAGAGTTTACCAGAAAACATACACTTGTTCAAATAACTGAATTTTTTCGAAAATTTTAACGACAACTTCATTAAAACTTATTCAACAACTATATAGAAAATCAATAGTCTGGCTGTGTTTGGATAAGCAACCTGCCCCTCGAATACTTGGTTTATTGATAGAGTTATGAGTAAAAGTTGCAGTTAAACAATGATTGAACCAGTGCAAAACATTCTACTTCTGTTTGATTTTTTATTGCGAATTAAAGTTTGGTTAATCATACGGGCTTCATTCCGTTCATAATCATTTGCTTTTAAAATTCTAAATGTTATTTAAGTGAGCTTAAATTTTCAAATCAATTTAACAATTTCAAAAATAAATGAATGATTCGCTCAATGAATTTTCTTATCTAATTTAAAGATTCATAAATCTGAATGTTTTTCATTGATTTTTTATTGCACAGTACCAACTAGTGTTTATGAAGTCATTGTTTTTCATTTCCATGATATGTTGAAGAAAGTAAGAAACTACAAGATACACGATAACTGGCTTTCTAAATACAATGTCAGATATTGAAAATTATTAAATCACTCAATTTTCTTACCAACTTAAACAGAAAGCGCTCACAATTCTTAGTCAATTTTGTCAAAACCGGCAATTTTGTACCTTTTCTAGTGGCAGAATATCTAAACCTCCTTATAATTGATTTTTCAATAAGTTAAGGTAACGGTCTGCGGTTAAAATGTGGTGGCAAATGAAAGGTCCCAATATTCAAAAATTTTTCTTAAATATTTTTTTGTAAATACTAATTGACGTATGTTAGAACTGATAAGTGAAATGTTGTTACCGTTTACTAGTAAAGATGGGTATAATTTATAAAAAACTGCATTTTTTCACGCAAGAACCGAAACAAATAATACTGGCACATCGTTGACCTCGCTATTAAAAGTGCTTCCTAATCCGGTATGTACCCTTTTTTCGGTCCACATGAACAACAAACGTTAATAATGGTTTTAAAGAGACGAAGCGTTGTAATACATTTTCATCGATCATGTTTTAGAGCTCTAAAAGGTGCAATGACAAAGCATGTTTTGTTTTTTGATATGATTTGAAATTCAAAAAATATATAATATGTTTTTAGCATCTTTCCAATGAGCCGCAGTAATCCATTAAAATGAAAGGTAATCTCCCAATTTTATTCTAGATTTTTTGTTTGTTAACTTTTCAATTTCTTTCACGGCCGTTTTATAAGTAGAGAGTAAAATAAACTTACCATCCTCCATTCCTCGTCAAAGTGAATCCAAACTTGGATTCTCGGTCTACGGATACTCGAATTCCAACAATGCCCAGGCCCTGAGGAGACACCACTTGTCCTCTCATCACTGCTACTCGACTATATTATGAAAACGAACAATCAGTTAAGTATTTTGATTAAAATTAAGTATACCAAAATAAAATATACCATCATTTGTAATCAACAAATCTGAATTTTGGAATCCGCCATCAAGCCATTTAAATTTTATTATTGTTTTGCAATTATAATCAATTTAATATATTACACACATTAATAGTTATTGAAGCTTTCTTCCTAGAAATAACCAAATTTTATTAGATAGAGGAACATTTAAAATCTGATAAAAATAATAGAAAATAATTACACTTAGATTATCAGTTTTATTGTCAAATTGTTTCAATGTGATATAATACTCCACATCGAAACTTACACAGTTAAAATAGCAAAACAAAGGGCATATGAGGGTGGCTTCCAATAAACAATTCAGTTAGACAGAAAATCCAAAGAAATGGAATTTTTGAATGAAATGGAAGAGTTCATGCAGAACTTGTAGCAATATATGTTAAGCACTGTATAATATGTAAGCGGTATGGAGCCGTAATAATGTAAAAAATAATATAGAATCATGCCGGAAACAATATTAGTGCCGATAGCTTTTTTGCTCGTACGATTTCACATTTCCTATGCAAATTTTACATTATTACAACAAAGTTACTCAGGCAATCCTTTATTACTGACTAAATGAGCAAAGATGTCTATATTACAAAAACAGGGAATGTGAACTGGTCAACTTTTGACGTGGGGAGTTTGTTCGCTTAGTCACTATGATCATAATGAATATTTATAAGCTATATTTTAAACATTAAGTATATTTGTTTTTGGAAGGTTTAAATAATTTTAAGTTCAATTGGATTAGTTTTTACTTACCAGATATCTCTCTTGTGCGGCTAAATAGATAGAGAAAATCGGACGGCGTATATGATGGCAAGGATGTATTCAAAAGCATTAAGAATAGAATAATATAAGCATTCAATATGAACAACTGAAACTGCCTGCAAAGGGATAATTGAAGATTTTTATAAATTATCGTGTCATCTCGGCAAGGGCATTAAAATATATTTTAAAACTTTAGAAGAAAGGTAACTCAGGTATAAACAATTTTCGCTTCGAAATCATCTTGCCGGAACCTTGGTAAAATTAAACAGTGTATCTACGTTGCATCTGAAATACTCCATTTTAGATTTGTAGCATTAATATAACTTTAACACCAACCATTGGTTGGCGGCTTGCATATACTCGTTATCATTTCCTGTATAGTAAAGTGTGTACTTTAGACACGCAATTCACTTATGCCTTGTTTACGGCCATTGGATACTTACTCATGTTCTCAGTCTCATATTAAAGAGCGGTGTTAGAAATCATTACCCAAAGGGGAAGTGCATAATTAATGTATCACACAGTGCAATCCCTAATTGGTTGGCACGCCTACACGCCTTATAAATACTCATTATGATAGTGACACAGCAGTTAAACTTTAACAGTGTGTATGTGAATATTGGACAAAATGCAACGATGCAGAATAAGGGTCCCTTTGGGAAAATTAATTATAAGAGGTGCGATAAAGGATATAGGGTTTTACAGAGGTCATGGGTTAATGTGTATAGAGCATCTGGTTAAAGCATAACAAGAACTTCAATTTCTCAGTTCAGTTCTCTGAGGTAATTAAACGCGGGTTTTATCCGCAGAATGTTAACCGCCAGAAAAAATACTTCTTACGCTTTATACAGCTGACCCTAAGGAATGAGTTGACACGTAGACAAGGGTAGGAAGTCGGTTTGAGCCGTCAAATAATAAAAATGTGTTTAATGTTTTATTTGTTTTATTTCTTTATAGATCGTGTTACTACTGACTGCGCCAAACAAGCTAAAATTTGATAGTACTGTTGAAAAAGTAACATCGACTTAATAAATAACGAAATACGAATCAAATCTTCTGTTTTGTTAACTTTCGGATATTCCCAGTGCATCTGAGATATTTCGCAGTTATTGACTTCTGGATCTGAATAGAAAAATAAACCAATTTTCATTTATTGAGTTTACTACTGAGCCATTTTACCTCATATTGAAACTTTTGACAACTTGATGCTTAAACTGTTACAAAATCCATCACTATTACACTTAATCCGTCTCAGCTCGTTTTTCCTATGTGTGTTCGTGATAGTTTTGTCGATAAACTTTTATAAAGTTCAACATTGACTGATTTCTTTTTATGATTGGACTTTTTCGTAAAACTCGCAGGAAACAACGAACGATTCACATGGATGATGCTGATTTTTTAATTGAAAATAACGTTGTGTGTTAATGGCACAGCACTTAATTGGTTCATGTCTACACAGAAACATATAGTGAGAATAAAAAAAAGTAAGTATTTAAAGGGTAAATGGTTTCTTCTTAATAATGTATGTTATGTAAAATTCCTCATCAAATTTTAGCTTGGATTCGTTTCTACGGGCAGTTTCCTTCTTTCTTACCTTTCTTGCGAATATGAGGCTTTTTTTCTAATTATGAAAATTTGGAAAACATATTAACTTCATGTTGAGCAGACATCTAGGTAGATACAAATCTCTGCAATTGTTACAATGTGATTTTACGCTGTTGAAAGAAAACGTTACGGTGTTTCAATGGTGACTCCGCGTTCGCTTTGGAAACACTAGTAGTTTTTCTTTCACGGTATTAGTGACTTAGTTTGCATATTAATGCTATAAATGAGTTATGAAGAAATATACATATGGCGCAGCGACAGAGCATACTGTTACATTGCAAAGGAATAGACTTCTTGCAGATCGATTATTATGAAACACGTATTTTCAAACCGCACGGCTCAATTATGAAAGTGTTTTAAGTTCAAAAGAGTTTGAACTATGATTTGATGAAAAATAAGTGTCTCGTAATACCCACGGCAAGAAAAATAAATAAATGACATACCAGAAGAAGCATGAACGTATAACACACAAAGAACAATACATAAAATTCCTGACGAACAAACAGAAATGTGGGGTCGTATGAAGTGTCGCATCGTTTTCAGTTTTGCATGTTGGATCAGGAATAATATTGAAAGGTTCATTTAAAAAACTGAACTTATCAAAACAAATTTGATCTTAATAGAAATTCTCGATATTCGAGTGCAGAAAGTTGTAATGTTGTGTCAATATGAAATGTACGTTTACATAGAAAGTTCGATCTATCAGTCCCAGTTTTCGGAAGTTTTCTATAAATAATTATTGAATGATTTCGGCATTCTTTAGACGGTATGCGGATTGTAGACTTGTTTGGGGCTGCATAAATAATTTGAACCAGTTTGAGGTTCTAAATCAAGACAGGTTGGGATATAGTTAAACCTGGACGAAAGACCAAGTGAAACATCGAACTGAAAAGTTATATTTCTTAATAGCCGTGATCGGCTATTGACTCGTATTTTTAAGTTTTAACCATCTAATTGTGAAGAAAACTTCAACCGTTACCGATCAGTTTTAAAAATGGTAGCGAAGTAAGTCATGAAAATATTCGTTTTGTGGTGACTATTCCAAGTTAAAGCTCGGAAAATCAAATAATGACGTTGAATGAAAATTAAATTAGCGATGCACATACAAAACTGAAAACAGGACAACCTGAAGGAAAATCCAGCCTTCTGGATGCTTAAGGATCATGAAAGCGACCTTGGTATAGCCAATGAACTTGAAGATGCGTGTCTGATCAGGCTAGACCTTCCATGTAAATCTGATGTATGTAACAGGCAGTACATAGATAAACAGACAAACAGACAGAGAACGAATATGCGAGTATGCTGCGACTTACCGCGGTGTAAAGGAGTTCCAGAACTCGCTACAGGTTGCAGCAGCGACACAGAGAACACAAGAGACAGGACAGTTACTAATCACTCCAGTAATACCATATGCTTGATATGAATGTTTTATTTCAGGAAAAAAAATTAGCTGTTTAGAACTAGAATATCGAAAATTGAGTCCCTGAATCATTTAGTTGCTAACTTTCGAAGGTAAGTTAGAAATAAATCTTTCGGAAGATAAAGCGGGTTTGCCTTGGCATCTCGTGGTTTATTTCGAATTTTGAGCAACAAAAATACAATTAACAATTTACAGTGAATTAATGGCAGATTTGCTTTCAATATGGGGTATCATCGGATATGTGTCCTATTGGGAAAATATTGTATCGATATCTTGCAGAACATAAAACTTGCATATCGCATATGTATTACATTAGCATTTCAATTGTCAAGCTAAGAATCTCGATAAAAACAACTTACTCTTGATGCTAATCAGTTTTAGGTAATCTAGATTTTTAGGTACATTTTATCAAATTATAATCCAGGTTTGACATTTTAATACCTAAATACGGTATAGAATTACTTGACATTTGAAATTACGTTCAGTTTCAAGTCATTTAGCGCACGCTCACTTGTTCGTTCAGTCAACCGATTTAATGACAGGACAATATGACGGACACACAATTAAACAAAAACTCAAAATTAAAACAAAACTATTATACTACAGACAAATGACAGACACAAGTTAGCAAATATAGGTTCGGTCTACGTTAAATACATAGGGATTTTTCGTTGGATGTTGCCACTATATGTAGTTTTATTGACGCGTAAATACGTCCGGTTTAAAAACACTAGCAAATAAATATATTTTTCTGGTGAAACTTTACCCAAACTTAGCTGACCTGGTTAAAAACCTGCGCGCGGAGTACTTGCAAGTGAATGAGAACTCAGGGAATAATAAAAATTTTTGTCCCTACGACCGACAAAAATGGCATTATTATTTTCGAAAATTATGATATGCGCTGTGTGGCAATTTTTTCATAGTACGTGGTTATTTTCAGCCGACAAAACGTCTTTAATTTACGATAAACTTAAAACATATTAAGTTCTGTGCAGTTTTAAATCTAGGCGCTGTTATCATAAACGTAAACAAAAATTCGTATAACTCTGATAACAACGCAAAAAACTCTTTATTAATTACTTTTTCTGTCATTTCAAAAATGATTTCGCTTGACGGAGTATGAGGCTGTTAACTTGCGTTTAGGAACGCAATGGGATTTCTTTATTATGTTATGCTAATTACTTTATTATTTTAAGGATAACTTAATAAAAATCTATCTAGTTTTTATAAGCACTGATCCACGCTGGTCAATAGTTACAGTACTCAGGAAGAAGAAAATATTTGTATTTTTTTATATTTGATAATGGTGTTAGTATTAAAAATGTCTCTGATCAGAATCTTATATTGGAAACTTCTCGACTGCTGAATGACGAAAATAAACACGTTTTCGTTACTATAAAACCTTGCGATCTTGTAAAATGTTCATAATTTGGCAAATATAGAAATAGAAATAAAATACTTACAACTTAAAAATTCTTACTCGTCAATATTTTTATTAGAACAGCTAGAATTATTAGAACAGCCATTGGCTGTGCTTTTAAATTGGATTTATTTTTCAATTAGACGTAAATTTTATTATTTTTCAACAAAGGGACCTTTGACACAGTATCACTGTAAGAAACGCCACTTGTTTAAACCAAACTTGTATTCCTCCATGAATATTCCGACATAAAGTTATTTTAGTGGCTCTAAGATTTCCTAAGTGAATGTCTTACGATTTATTTAGGCCATGCGAATATATCATTTACGTTGTAGTAATTGATCTAATTTTGAAAATATTGCCACCTATCAGAATAAAAAAATATATAGAAAGACTTATTCTTTATTCCTCTTTAGGACTATCCATCCACTATTAAATTTCCACACTATTACATTTCCCAAAAATTTTACCTATATGAACAATACTTATTAGAGATAAGTAGAAAAAGTCGTCATAAACAGTGTAAATGTAATACTTAAAAAATAAAATTTATATACACTCGTAAACGTAAATTAGATATTAATATAAGTTTATTTTTCTTTAAATTATAAATTCGTGTATTTTTTAAATTATTAAAATGCTGAAACGCAGCTTAAATACATAGTGCTAAAATGAACCACTTAGAAAGCAAATTAAATTTTCAGTTCATCTACAGCTAGCTGATTATTGTTTTGTATTAAAAAATGCTATAATACTGTTTTAAATACTTATAGTTTCGAAAACCGTGCTTTATTTCAGTCATTAACAATGCTCAGTTAACCAAAAGGATACGTGCGGTAAAAAACTAATACTTAGAAAAAACTTAAACTTGGATCTTAAAAGCAATGGAGATTTGTGCCCATTGGTTCAGCGAAGAGCTGCGAATTAATACATTCATTTTGAGTGCTAATAAACATTTTAATGAACATAATCAAAAATTAACTTTGCATGATTATGCATATCTGTAGATTATTTTGTTGAAAGATGTTAGATATTTGATGCCTGAACATCCGTCAACTTATTCAGAGAAGCACATAATCAAGCAGATATTGTAGAAAACCCATTGATTCAATTTTTTTTATGTTTTTGTGTTTTCGTCATACAATGGAATAGGGTGTTTAATTAGATTTGAATAAGCTAAGCCGAAAGAAAATTTATAAAGCCAAATAATTTATTCAGTCGCATAATGCGAATGATTTAATAATTCTTTAAATTACCACGAAAACCGTACGTTAATGAACCATTAATCTGAATTTTGAATTAATAAGATTTTACATCCTGGTGAAATATGAAATATATAATTAAATGCCTCTAAAGTATGAAATCTATCAATAATATTATTGCGTTTGGCATAAATCTACAATATTAGTTTTGCCTATTTAGTAATTACGATTCAAGCATTTCCATTTGGGACGAATAATGCCAATACAAATATTTACCCTATTTGGTATATTTAATATAAACCAACAACAGAATTCTCCCCACAGCATCGCATATCCAATATTATACATTATACACGGTTCGTATCGATCTACGTTTGTGTTTTGTTGTTTCTTCCGTTCTTTATCACAGAGCGGTAGCAGTCTGTGGGAATTTTATCAATTCATTTCAGTCAAGAAGATAAAATTTAATTTACATCAGCAGTGAAAAATATGAAAGAGTCAAATTAAAATTTATAGTTATGGGTTGTAGCAGAAGCAGAACCCCATGTAACAGTAAAAAATGATTAATATATATGGTTGCTGTAAAGCTATACAAGGTGTTTCATGAAGAAGGGGCATTATTCTACGTGCAAAAATTTATAAATAAATATGAGCTAAAAAATTCTTTGATACGGATTTACAGGGTGTGTGAAATTTAATTTAAAAAATGCCAAATGATAAATTTCTTCAAAACGCTTAGAGATATTTTAACAAAATTTTCCAAGGATCTCCAAGAATTCAGGGAGAAAATACCTTGATGCTTTTTGAAGAAATTTGTCATTTAGCATTTTTTGCGTATTTCGCAACACCATATGAATGCCCATTGAATGTTGGCCCAAAATGGCCCACAAAGTTTGCCAAATTTGCAACAAATTATAAAAGATATGTTTATTACAACTACACGCACATCTAGGGTGCTGTATGCGTAGTATTGGTAAGTTTTGAGCTTAACTTTTGTTGGCATTTGGATACATCGTTTTCACTCTTGCATTTACGGATAAACAAATGTACATGACCTGTATATGATTATCCTTACAATTGGATTGCATTTGTTATTCATCAATATTTACTTATAGGTACATTGAGCCAAATTTAATTCTGAAATCTACTTTTAATTCTTCTACTTTTTAAAGGGTAGATATAGGTATAATTCCTAAACTAGTCAATTTACAGAAAACAATTTTGACGGTCGCATATATTTACCATGTTATCTACTCAGTCTATTTTTCACTTCAATTAATCTAGGTACTTTAGTAACAATTCAGTTATGAATTTTTTTTAAAGTAATGAAAATTATATTTACTTGTCGAGCAGGAACTCATAGTTAACTGTATTTTAAAGACAGAATACAGCAAAAAATTACGATAGAGTGAATATAACAAAAAAATAAGTATTATTTCCTACGATTTTACAATACGGGAAACTTTCACGTAGTAAGTAACTCTTTTCCAATTTAGTATGTACAAAAACAATATATTTATGGAGCGATTAGACGGGAAGTGCACCCAAATTCTATTAAGTACTCCTCCTACCAGTTTCAGTCTTAAAAGGCAATTCGTAGTCAATCTGAATTATATGGAATATTTCCCAGGGTAAACCAATTTGCTTGGGTGAATGGCAAGGAAAATAGGGACATTCAAATGAAAATATATCTTCATTGCAATGTAAATGGCTCGCCAACTTCCGTATTGATCAAACAATGAAAACACAAAATTCAAAGCGGGTTGTGGAAATTTGGTAAAAATCTTATCTATATCAGGATGTACCCGAATTTACATTCAGTTCATGTCACGGAGACATCAAAATATCGTCGAGAAAATATTGCTTTATTCGGGTAAAACGAATTACAGGTGATTTAAGATTTTGATAACTTCAAGCTCGGATTTGCGACTTAACTAAAAAAGAACTTCGTAGTCGTTCGAATAATTTTCAAAACATTGATCACAGCTATTCATTTACATTTTTTAACTATACATAATATATACATGTATGCATAATGTTAGCAAATAGCAAACATTTGAATAAATTCTTCACTTCTTTCAGAGAAAGTTAATCAATCGATTCAATACAGAAATACCAGATAACGGTATTCTGAAATCATGGACTTTGTAGATTGTTCCACTAAGTATGAAATCATCTAGAGAGCAACGTAATACAATTTACTGAAACTCCTTGTTCTTATATTTCATGGAGTAAATATGCAAAAGTGTTTTTAAACCGGGTTTAATAGTCGAAATATAATTAATCGAAATAACAAAA